TTTTTTGAAAACTAGAAAAGACAATTTCAAAATTCAGAACTAAATGTTCAACAATTATTTACAATAATGGTTATTTCAACCGATAATTACTGTGTAGATAGTAGTAGTATTGCATGGGGTAATTGGTAGAATAAATAGTAGTTGCATGAGGTGATTGTTTCAATAAATATTAGTTATTGCATGTGATCTTTGATCAAAGTTTCGGATTGATACAGTTCAATCAGTTTTTATCCGAATCTAAAAACCCGCATCAAAAAATTCTTTCCAAATTCAGAATTTTATTCCAATGACAAATTTTAATAAATCGGTTAAAATTATAGAAACTGTTTAAAATAACTTAAAAAAGGATTCTTTATTAAACCGCAGATTATAATAAGGAAAGAATTTTTTTAAATACAAAAATTTTAATTCGTATCGTAACTGATTAAATAAAGAAATGTTTCTTAAATATAACAAAATTGATTATCAATTGAAAAATTTTCATTAGGATTATTGCAACATTTTTAATATTTTTTTAAATATTGCACGAACAGAAATACATAAAATTTATTTTACTTTTTAGAAAATAATTTCGCGAGATTTAGAATCCTACCAACTTTTTTTGTAAAAAAAAATTACATTTTTTAGTAGAAAAAGAATTATTTATAAAAAAAAATCACTAACCTTTGAAGCAACCGTTGTCGCTGCTCTATAATGGCTGCTGTCAAAAAAAAAAAAAAAACACACGCAATTTAAAATATTTCGAACACTCCCGAAATCACGTTTTTTAAATTGAGAAACAAAATACTTTTCTAAAAATTTAAAACGATCGCGATTTTAAGAATTTCGAACACTTCCGGAACAAAAAAAAAATTACACAATCAAAGAAAGTTATCTAACACTTTTTCGTTCGCGAGCTAAAGGAATATCGAACACTACACGAAGCTATTCTCTATTCAAATATTACATAAAGGACGATAAAAAAAGCGTTTAATAAAACCAATTTTTTCTTTTAAGACACTCACGTTTATCCATCAGTAGATGAATTGCAACTAATTGAATGGGATTTTATATCTACATGCGGTTAACAGTTAAGGCACCTTTTGTATTTCAAAATGTAAACAAACAGCTCGGAATGTATGTATAAAGGCGGTAATAATTCCAAAATTATTATGGACAATTTTAAAATTGTGAAAATTGTTTTTAAATATTTCACTTACATTCAGGGGCGGATGTTGTGTTTAAATCGCCCTAGGCCAAATAATTATTTATAATTTTCTCTAATTTACAATTTTTATATTATTATTTATACATTATTTATAATTTTTTTACATTTTATCATTTTTATACAAGTTTGGGTAATTAATATTGCAAAATAAAAATTGACAAGAATTTTTTAGGTTCTAATATTTTAGATTTACGGATTAGGAATAAGTATATATAATAATGACTCTATGGACATTTTAAAGACCAACGAGGCACGATTATGAACTTCAGTGTATATAAAAAAACCCCCGGAAAGAATAAATTTCACCCCCTATATGCTACTTTGCTCTTGTACACGGTTTCAAATATGAAAATAAATGAGACCCGTTTGCACGATTATAGTACTCTTTTGAAACGTTTGTGTAAGTAGAAAAAGTATGTTCATGGGAGCCATTTGTGAATGCAATCACAGAAGTAGAGTGAACCACACGGGATAGAACAAGTTGAGAGTGAAATGTGCTTTCACTCTTTTGCTCCTTTTCTTTATAACCATGCGAGGACGGTCACCTACTTAAATTTTATAAAAAAGAAATGAATTTATATATAAAATAAATTTTATCTATTTCTGTTAGTGCAATATTAAAAAAAATATTTAAAAATTTTGCAATAATCCTGATGAAAATTTTTCAATTGATATTGAATCAATTTTGTTGTATTTAAGAAACATTTCTTTATTTAATCAGTTACGATACGAATTAAAATTTTTGTATTTAAAAAAATTCTTTCCTTATTATAATCTGCGGTTTAATAAAGAATCCTTTTTTAAGTTATTTCAAACAGTTTCTATAATTTTAACCGATTTATTAAAATTTGGCATTGGAATGTTAATTAAAACAATTAACAATTTAATGTTCAATTCTGAACTTGGAAAGAATTTTTTTGCAGTTTTTTAGATTCGGATAAAAACTGATTAAACTGTATCAATCGGAAACTTTCATCAAAGATCACATGCAATAACTAATATTTATTGAAACAATCACCTCATGCAACTACTATTTATTGTACCAATTACCCCATGCAATACTACTACAATCTACACAGTAATTATTGGTTGAAATAACCATTGTAAATAATTGAACATTTAGTTCTGAATTTCGAAATTGTCTTTTCTAGTTTTCAAAAAAACCCTTTTGCTTCTATGAAACTATTGTTGGTAATAAAAAATAATTCTTGTTGATTCAGTTCATTTTGTAAAAATGTCTTTTCTAGTTTTCAAAAAAACCTTTTAGAAGATTATTAAAAAAAAAAAATTATTGATACTGTAACATTGTTGATTTTGAATTCCTGAAGTTTTCCAAAACATTCCATAACGGGATTCTTCAGTCTTCTGGAACTGAATCAAATGGAAGTTGATTCTTTACTCCTTTTTCCACTTTTGACTTTGGTATTGCCATTTTCAATCTAAAAATCACAAACATAACTTTAAATTTTTTGCCCCTAAGCTCCCTTTTCTCGTGGAGCGTCATCTTCTCTTGACTTCTTTTTTAATTTCATTCAATTCACATAAGTAAGCCTCGGGGAAATTTGAGGGTCAAATTCTCTCTTTAACAAAAGAGTGATTCAAGAAAGAAAAAAAAATTACAATGTATATGTATATATATAAGACACTTTATGTCGCGATAAAAATTAACAATTTAAATTTCATCATGTCATTGACTTTTGAAATTTGATTCCGAAGATTGAATTGTGCCGTATCATTTCATGATTACTTCGATAATTATTTGATAGTTCCAAAGAAAACATTAATAATTCTATTCAAATATAATAACCATATATAATAATTATTATACTATGTAAATACTAATATTTACAATACAAATATTTATATAAAAATTTATAAATAAATAAATTATTTTTAATTAAAATTAAAAATATAATTCTTTTATCAAAAAAAAAATTTTAACAAATTTTTCTCTTTTTGAAAATATTTTAACGTAATTTTCCTAATTATGACAGAAATTTTTCCAACATTTCATATTATTTTGCGTGAATATAATTGATAGTTATGTTTCTGTAATAAAATGAAATTAGTGGCCATAATTCAGTTTGGTGGAGACTTTTTGATGATTTATATATAACACATTGAATTTCTTTAACGAATCTATAAATTCATCTTCACTGTCAGAGTAAACTTTCAGATTTCATTAAAATTGCGAGGGAAAAAAAGTTTTGTTTAAAAAAAAAAAAAAAAAAAAAGAAAGATCCTCTTTTTTTCTGTTATGTGAAGATAATTTCTCGTTTACGTTTTGTAGAGAGGATTTAAAATTCGCACATATTCGGCTAGGAGGCTATATAATAAATCTCGATGTTTATATAGAAGCTCTTTTGCTTTTTGGTATAAAGTCGAAGTTTTTTTTTTTATTTTTTTTTTTGTGAATTTTCATGAATAAAAATTTCTCTCTTTCGCGCGCACGCAGTCAGTGTGACATAGGGAATTATTTCAGATGGAATACACACGTTAAAACCAGCCAAGAAATTCGCCAGCACGTGTGTTATATATATATACAAAAATTGATGCTCATTCTTTATATCTACTTTAATATTACTTTTTCTTTTTTTTGTTTTTTTTTGTTTTTTCAAAAAAAGCAAAATCCGTATTGTCAGTAGTAAATGTATAAAGTAACTTGAAAATTTTGTTCTCTCGTACCATTTTTATTCTGTGCGGTAATTTATTTTTTCCCTTTCATCTTATTCTTAATTTTTTTTTCTTCCTTTTTGTTCCTAGTTTTCTTTTATTTTTTTCCCTTTTATATTTTATACACTCTTTATTTAGTTTTCTTTATTTTATCTTTATTTTTCTACTTTTTCCTACTTTTTCCTTCCTTTTTCCTATTTATTTTTATTTATCCAGTTTTTCTATAGTCTTTTTTATTTCTATATTATTTTTTATTAATTTTAATCTTATTATTTATTTATAATATTAAATTATTGTTATTATTATTAAATTAGTATTTTTTGGATAAAAAAAATGTTTCTGTTTTTGTTATAATTTGCAAAAATAGTTTATATATATATATTTTATAAACGCACGACACGACTGAATGATGTTTCAATTTAAGAAATGGAAATTAAAATAGGATAAGGAACTTTAATCTGGGTAAAATTAAATTAAAGAGCAATTACATTTAATTGAGTTGAAGAAGAGAATTAAAATTTTCACGTGTACGATCAGATTATCGGGGACTGTTTAAGGATTAAGTGTTTCTTATTCAGGAAGAGGAATTTTAAATTGACTCCTGGCCGGAGGCGATAAATTAACTGGCGCGATCTTGAGTGGAATTTCACGTTCCACGATCATTATGATCGGAAATTACGTATACATATATATATATATATATATAGCTTTGAATAAACTGCTCTGGATTACTTCTCACTTTCTCTTTCTTCTTCTATTGTTTTTTCTTCATTGATTGAATATGTATTATAATAATTTTAATAAATCGATTGTTACTCATTAAATATACATTCTTCTTTAAAATTATTATTATTATTATTATTATTATTATTATTATTATTATTATTATTATTATTATTATTATTATTATTATTATTATATTATTATATTAGCCATTAGGCCAAATACTGGTTAATATCATTTACCTACTAAATTAAATTATATGGCTTTTCAAAATTATTAAATTTATATTATTATATTATTATTATTATTGAAAATAATAAAAATTAATTAATTTTTTATATGCAATAATTTTAAGATAATGAAAAAATAGTTTAATTATTTTTATTTTCTGTTTCAGTGACTTAATGAACAACAATATAACGCACATTCCAATAAATGCTTTTCAACATTTTTCCAGTTTGGAAATTTTGTAAGTATTTTTTCCCTTTTTTTTCTACTTTTTTCCCCTATTATTTAATTTGATTTTTTTTTGTTTTTTTGTCGATGAGAGATATTTTCTGTTATCGAAAAAAAAAAATAAAATTAGAAGATTTATATAAATGGAGGCACGCGATTTGAATCTTTTGAAAGTTGGGAAAAAAAGAACAAATTTGATATAAATATAAAGAAGCGAAAAAAAAAATGGTTGAAATTGGAAAATTCGTGGAAAAGATTGATGATTGTGTATTACATAAGACGATAGCAATGTAGTTCTTAAAGTAAATAGGGACAAAAAAGGAAAAGACAATTTAATATGTATGAGAGGTATTTCAGGTTACTTCGACGCAACCATCTCAGATACATTGATGTCAATGCATTTACAAATCTAACAAATCTCAAAATCCTGTAAGTATTTTATTTTATTTCGCCCTTAAAGAAAAAAAAAAGAATTCTATTTTTTTTTTGGAAAATATTACACCAAAATTCAAGAGTTAGAAGAAATTTTTTTTTTTTTATATTCATTCGAAAAAGAAAAACGATGTTTCCTTTTGTAGAGAACTTGATGACAACGAGTTACTAGAGATTCCAAAGGCAATTGCATTACTGCCATTTTTAGAAGACTTGTAAGTAATCACTAAATTTACTTCACAAATAAAAAAAAAAAAAAAAAAAGAATTACAGTTTAAACAATTTTCCTAATCGATCGTATAAAGGAAAAAAAAGAAGAAAAAAAAAGATAAAATTACTAAAAGTGGATAAATTTTTCGGTATATGAAATTATATATAAAAAATTTTTTTGCCCTTAATTTTCAGATCGTTATCAAATAATAGGATACAGAGGCTGGAAGCGAATGATTTACAAAATACTTTGTACCTGGTGTCTCTGGATTTTCGTGGAAATCCCATAAGAGAAATTCATGAGCACACTTTCCAGAATCTTGCAAGACTTCGAAAATTGTAAGCAAAAAAGAATATATAAGACAAAAAAAAATAATAATAATGAAACACAAGCGATCTCTCTCGACATTGAGATTCGAAAATAAAATCTGTGACTCAAGATTATTTGTTATATATGTACTTGTTTTCTTTTTTAGAATTTTCTCCAATGTAAAGGAACTTATTGAATTCCCCGTTTTAAATGAAACAGCAGCCTTGGAAGTGTTGCGACTCGATCGTGCTCACATTCAATCTGTTCCGGAAAATCTTTGCCAACAATGTCCAAAACTTAAGAGTTTGTAAGTTAATTGAAATTTTTATTAAAAAAAAAAAAGAATAAAATTTTTATTTATTTAAATTCATAATAAATAAATTAAAAAAATAATTTTTCCGCAGTTTTTTCAAAATGTTTATTCATTCTAGAGACTTGAAATCAAATCGTTTAACGGAAGTGCCCAACTTAAAAAACTGCCATGACCTTCGGGTTTTGTAAGTATGTGAGATATTTACTGTTATATATATTATTTTTAACTTAATTTTTTCTTCGTTAGTCAATATTCAATTTACTTTCAATTTTTAATTAATTTATTATTATTATTATTATTATTATTATTATTATTATTATTATTATTATTATTATTATTATTTTCATAATTATTTTAATTATTTCTATTTTAATTATAAATAAAATATTATTTTTAAAGTTAGAATTAATTATAATTCTATTTTATAAAAAATTTAAATTAACGTTATTCAATTTTTTTTTTAGAGATTTAACGAGCAATATGATTTCATCTTTATATGAAAAACCTTTCGAAGGTCTCAGCGCTGTTCACGATTTGCTCTTATCAAATAATAATATAAAAATTATTCCACACGATGCATTCTCAGGCTTGACACGTTTACAAGTTTTGTAAGTTTTTTTTTTGCTTACAATTATTTTTAATTAATTCATTTTTAAATTAAATTATAAATTAAATTTAAAAAAATAATTGGTTGCCATATTGGATCCGCCATTTTGAATTTTTGAAAACTGACCTCAGATTCGTAATCAGCGACCCTAAAAACCCCTAAATACTCAGTTTTATTAAAATCCCTAATCATTTTACATTTACTTTCCGCCATATTGAATCCGCCATTTTGAATTTTTGAAAACTGACCTCAGATTCGTAATCAGCGACCCAAAAACCCCTATATACCCCTTTTTATTAAAATTCCCTATATTTTTACATTTACTTTCCGCCATATTGGATCCGCCATTTTGAATTTTTGAAAACTGACCTCAGATTCGTAATCAGCGACCCTAAAAACCCCTAAATACTCAGTTTTATTAAAATCCCTAATCATTTTACATTTACTTTCCGCCATATTGGATCCGCCATTTTGAATTTTTGAAAACTGACCTCAGATTCGTAATCAGCGACCCAAAAACCCCTATATACCCCTTTTTTATTAAAATTCCCTATATTTTTACATTTAATTTCCGCCATATTGGATTCGCCATTTTGAATTTTTAAAAACTAGATTCCTAATCTACTACCCCAGAAACCATTAATCGTCATCAACTTTTTTCAGAGACTTGGAAAGTAATTATATCGAATACATTCATCCCGATGCATTTAAGGAAATTAAACACTTAGAAGATTTGTAAGTAATTTTCTATAAAAAAAAAAAAAAAATGGCAAAATTTATCCCATTTATTAGAAATTGTAGCTAAAAAAAAAGTTTTTTGTTAAATTTTACAGAAACTTGGGAAATAATATATTTCCAACACTGCCAATAGCAGGTCTCGCGGGTTTATTGCATTTGAAAACATTTAATAATCCAGCGCTAAGGGAATTTCCATCACCGGAAAAATTTCCAAAAGTCAAGACAATGGTACTTTCTTATGCCTATCATTGTTGTTCATTTTTATCAATTGAATTAGAAGAAAGTATCACTAAAATTCCTGTCGAAGAATCAGTTCTATTTCCCACTGACAATGAATTTGATATGAGTCTTTGGAATTCAAGTTTAACCGACGTTTGGCCTCAATTACGTGAGTATATTGAATTTTTTCCCGCACGAGAAAGAGATTTAAATTTAAAATTTTTCTATATATAAAATTAAATTTTTTTTTTCTCTAAAAATTTTCCATTAAAAAAATTTCTCTATTTTTGCAATAATACTTTCTAATTATATATTTCATTTGAATTCAAATTAACAATTCAATAACTTATATTAACTGTATCATTAATCTCTATGAAATCGAAGATTAATAATTCCTCTATTGAAAATTTTAGCGATATAATATGAATGTGCTTTTCTCTTTTCTGTCGCTTCTCAATCGTGATTTATGATTCGCTCTTTTTTTCCGTGTGGTCTATAAACACTAAACTTGCTCTTTTGCTTTCACTCTTCCAAAACACTGAAATGCTGCAATAGCCCACTATTTAAAAAAACCAAGATAAAATTTCATTTTTACAAAAAAAAAAAACAATTTCTCAGAAAAAAGAGAAGACATTCATTAATATATATCTTTATAATTTGGTTTTGGGTTAGAAAAAGAAAGAAAAAGGTTTTGTTATCTTTTAGCAAGACTTTTTTTTAAGCAGCACTGAAGTGATAAACTTTTCTAGATAACTTGAGCAGCAAATTTGGATCACAAATAAATGAACTTCTGGATAACTTTGGTTCAGATTTTACCTATCCGGGAAATTTGCCCTCATACGTTGATGACTACTTTGAGGAACACGATGGACGAACACTAAGTCAAAATACCCATCCCCAGCAAATTCAATGTTTACCACAACCTGGTTTGTATTTTTTTTTTTTTCAAGTATATTTTTTTGATAATAATTTACGATTTAGTTTTCTTAAAAAAACATTTTTTCCAGGTCCATTTCTCCCCTGTGAAGACTTATTCGATTGGTGGACACTGCGATGTGGCGTTTGGGTTGTTTTTCTCTTTGCTCTACTTGGAAATGGAACCGTGGTGTTTGTGTTGATTTTTTCTAGGAGCAAAATGGATGTTCCTAGATTTCTCGTTTGTAATTTGGCAGCCGCTGATTTTTTTATGGGAATTTACCTTGGTGAATATCTGTAACATAAAAATTGGAGATTTGTGTTAAATTTATGGATAACTGAAAAATTGTTTCAGGTTTATTGGCTGTAGTCGATGCCTCGACACTTGGTGAATTTCGAAGATACGCAATTCCGTGGCAAATGTCCGCTGGTTGTCAATTGGCGGGATTTTTAGGAGTTCTAAGTTCTGAATTAAGTGTCTATACACTTGCAGTGATAACTTTAGAGCGAAACTATGCAATTACACATGCAATGCATTTGAATAAACGTCTTTCATTGAAACACGCGGGCTATATAATGACCGTTGGTTGGGGATTTGCATTATCAATGGCGACACTACCGCTTCTTGGTGTTTCGGATTATCGAAAATTTGCCATATGTCTTCCATTTGAAACAACTGGCACTGCATCACTCAGCTATGTTGTATTTTTAATGATGATCAACGGTGTTGCTTTTCTTATTCTCATGGGTTGTTATTTAAAAATGTACTGTGCAATTCGTGGTTCACAGGCATGGAATTCCAATGATTCGCGAATAGCAAAACGAATGGCTTTGTTGGTATTCACGGATTTTCTCTGTTGGTCGCCAATTGCATTTTTTTCACTAACAGCAGCATTTGGACTTCAACTTGTTTCATTGGGTCAGGCAAAGGTGTTTGCCGTCTTTGTATTACCATTGAATTCCTGTTGTAATCCATTTTTATATGCCATACTCACGAAACAATTTAAAAAAGATTGTGTCCTCATTTGTAAGGCTATTGAGGAATCAAGAGTAACACGTGGAATTGGAAGATGTAGACATAGTTCAAATTTTAGTAATCGTCAAACACCGGCTCATATGAATAATAGTCTTGTCGATAGACATTCAAGGGAAAATCAACAGCATCAACAATGCGTTTGTGGTTCGAGAATATTGAATCGTAATCAATGCAATGAAAGATGGTGGGGTGCTAAATTTTTTTTACCATGTTCAAGAAATCAACGACAACGTCACGTGAGAAGTGATCAGTATTCTTATCAAATTGCTGAAATTCAACAGAAACAACATAAACGAGCATGTTCCGTTTCGTCAAGTGAGAATTTCTCTTCATCAAGATCCGATTCATGGAGACAAGCACATCATTGTGGAATTCCTTTGAGGTAATTTATTACTTAGTATAAAATGATTTCTTAAATTCCTTGCGGGTTTTTTTTTTATTTTTTTTATCTTTAGGTTACTTGATCCTAACAGAAGAGCTTCGTCTTGGTTAATAACGAGGAAACCATCTCAGGATTCAAATTTGAGTTCATCACGTAATGATTCATCGGGATCGGGAACAACGGCAAGTACAAGCACATGGCGTATGTCCAGGTCAAGTGCATCACTCGAGTTAAATTGTCGAACAACTCAACGTCCACCAAGACCAAAACCACGATTGACAAGGCAATTAGCTTTTCAGGAACCTGATCCACCGGGTTCTCCTGGGAGACTTGCAGTACGACTTCTTGCCACTATTCCCTCGGCGGCTGAAATGAGCGATCAGCAAGAAGAGGAAAATGCTCTCACAAACGAGACACCTGAATCTTGAGTTTCTCTTCATTATAGAGATACGATATAACTTTGAAGACTGTTATTATATATCTATATTATATAAAATCGAAACTTTTAAAAAATAAATTTTTTTTGAGGTTAGAAAACAATATTTATTAATTTTTTTTTTTTTAAAGTTAGAAATAAGCTTACTAATCCAATTTGCATTGTAATTTATTTATAAATAAAAATTTAATATTTTGAGCTGAGAACAATTTTATTATAAAATATAAAAATTGAATTATATAGAACTTTTGCGATAAAAAATAGTTTAATTAAAATTACAGAAAAATTTAGTTTCGAGGTTATGTCAAAGTCGAATCTTTAGCGACAAATACGAATTCGACATATTGCCAAAAAAAAGTTAATTCATTTCAATTCATCTGAATTAGTTTTCTTTACTGGGTATAAAAACCTATTTTTAAAGGTTTAAAATTTTTATAAAAATTAATCATAATTTCAAATGTGAAAATATACAGAAATAATATAATATTTATAAATAACTTAATATATTGTATAATTTTTTTTAGTAAATTTTGCTATTATAAGTTCCTAATTACAAAAATAGGATAACAAACTTACCAAAGACAAAAAAAAAAAAAGCTAACCTATGTTACTTTTTTCACTGCCGCTAAAATACTCGCTTTTTAATATATAAGGCTACGTCCACAATAGTCTCCTTATATTAAGCCTTATGCACAGTAGTTTGTGAACAAATGAGATGGAAAAGGATAGAAATATATCTTGTGTCGTTTTCTATCTCATACATTAAATTCGCAAACTGTGCTAACGGTTTTAAACACATAAGGAGCCTATTGTGGAAACAGCCTAATATAGTAATTATTATTATTCATTATAATTAGAAAAAAAAATCTAATTTTTTGTTTCAAGTGACAATTTTTTTTTTTTTTTTAATAAATAAATAATGATAAGCATTTAGATTAAAATATATGCTCGATTATAAGATATATTGTAATATGTAAATGTATATAAAAAAATATTATAAATTTTTTACTGAGAATTGGTCCACCTCTCCATGTCTTCATATTATTTATATTAATTAACCAAAAAAAAAAAAAATTATAACTCAAATATAATTTTTAATTATTTATATTAATTTTAACTATTATTATTATTATTATTATTATCATAAAATTAATTTTTAAGCTCGTATATTATTTAAATAAAAAAAATTTTATCGCAAAATTTAAATTACAAGAATTTTTAAATTAAAAAAAATTTAATAATCACCTATTTTTTTGGAGGTGGATTTTTTTCAAAAATTGTTTATTTTTAAATTAATAATAATATATTATGCGTTTAGTAATATTTTATATATTTATTATGCGACTAGGGAAATTATTATAAAAACTTTTTATTGTTATAAATAAAATAAGAGGCTGTTAATGTAAATTTAGTAAATAGTATATATAAATATTTGCAATTAGTATACCTACAGTATGTATAAATGTTTATTTAGTCGAAAAAAATAATTAAAATAATTCGTCGCAGTATTTAGATAAAATAAAAATATATTAGTAGAATTTTATATAATATATATATGATTTTATGTAAATAATAATATATTGAAAATAATATTATAATATAGATATTTTTACGTGCCTTGTATCTAAAAAAAAAGCTGAAATCTAAAAATATTTATTTGTCGCTCAGTTATTGCACTAAATTTTTCCAATTTTTTTAATTTGGAAAAAAAATCATATTTATTTATATTGTACACAATTTTATTATTTATATATTAATTTATTATATTTATTGTTTAAAATAAAAATTTATCCACAAAAAAATAGTAATGGAATTTTAAACAAAAAAATTTATGTATTGCTAATAGTTAAAGAAATTTGGAACAATTTTATTATTTATAAAATAAAAAAATAATTCCATTACTTTTTTTTTTTAAATTATTTTATAAAGTAAAAATATAGAAATTTTTTTTTAATTAATTATAATTATTTTTTTGGATAATTAGATTAATTTTTAATAAAAAAAAATAAAGTGCAAAATTATATATTAAAGACGAGTGAAAATTGAGTATTATTATAATATATATGTACATAATAAGTAAATTAAAAAATTTTAAATCCCGTATGTATAACTTTTCCTGTTGTAAATTTCTAAGTCAAATTTAGCTGTACTTTTTATTATTATAAACATCTAATTGTAATATGTCAATAATTAAAAAAAAATTTTTATTTATCCTATTTTTCAAAATACAATAAAAGTGTCCCATTGTATAATTAAACCATATAACGTTCCTTTGAGATTTTTTATTGTACACACGTTTAATAAAAAGATTAAAAATATTATTATTTATTTATTTACATGTAAATGGAATTTAAAAAATAATTTTTATCTATTATTAGATTTTAATTCATTAGTTAAATCAAAGAATTTATCATTGTAATATTAAAAATAAAAAAATTATATTCGTTTTAGAAAAAAGTATAAATTTTGATTAATAAGAAATTTAAATTTTCCCGCTATGTCCCTGGGGCATGCGCAACGGCAAAGTTAGTTCGAAATTTCTCCGCTAGAGCGCGTAAGTTACTTGTCAAAAAAAAGGTTGTATTTGTGCTTGCGATAATTTTCATAATTTTTGTCAATAATCCGTGATTATTTGAATATAATAAATTGTAAATTTTACATTTCTTATTTCAATAATAAGTCATTAGTATTAATAAAGATTTTCCCATATTGAGAAATTTGTTTTTTGTTAATCACATTTTCTAACCTCAAAAATGTCTGACGAGGAGTTCGAAGCCGAAGAGTAAGTTTTCTTATTTTAACAATAATTAATATTGTATTATATTATATTATATTATATTATATTGAATCAGTCCACAAGTACGACAAGGATACTCATGCATTGTTCCATTACTATCTCACTCTCTAAATTTGAATTATTTAAAAATAACGTAAAAATAATTGTTAATAAAATTTTGCTTAACTTTTTGTTTCACCAATTAGTAAAAAATAACTAATTATTAGTAAAAAGTAACTATCAGTGGAAAAATAATCAAATTTGACTAACTAGTTATTAGAAATTTTAATTATTTTGACATAACCTAAAATTTAACTATAATATTTCGATAGCACCGTTGTTTTCTTCAAAAACTAGTTTCTTTTTTACTCTTTCTCAATAAAAACAAAAATAAATGAAAAATACAATTAAAAATAGAATATTAAATAAAATTACCGAAAAAGAAGGTCAGAAAAATTTATAAGATCCACTGATTGTATTTGTTCTGATTTTGTAATTTTAATAAAAAAATTATCTTTTTTTTTCCCTTAGAATCGCAGACGATTTCGAGGATGATATTGAATTGGAGAATAAAGAAGAGGAGGGGGAAAATTTTGAATTACTCACATCAAGAGGTGATGAAAATTCCGGCGGTGTTGAAACATCAAAACGAATAACAACAAAATATATGACAAAGTAATTTTTTTTTTCATTTAAATTTATAATTTTCTAATTTATTGAAAATAAAATAAAATTTTGTTTTTTCTTTTTGTTTGGAACAGGTATGAAAGAGCTCGAGTTTTAGGAACGCGAGCATTACAAATTGCAATGTGTGCACCAGTTATGGTCGAATTGGAAGGTGAAACTGATCCATTACAAATTGCAATGAAAGAATTGAAACAGCGTAAAATTCCAATTATTATTCGTCGCTTTTTACCTGATAACAGTTATGAAGATTGGGGTATTGACGAACTAATCATAACTGATCTTTAAATTTAAAAAAAAAAACAGACCAAGTGTATACTTTTAAGTTATAGATGTATAAATTTTTATATTAATTTCCTAAAGAATAATTATAAATTGCAAAATCTGCATATTATATTAAATTAAGATTCATTATTTGTCGTTATATTTTTTATTTATCCCAAAAAAAATCGTTGGGTTAACGCAACCTATTCAAAAATACACTATTGTTGGAAATTGTGCGATCTCTGCTTTTTCGATGACTATAAAATGGTTTAAATCTTCAAAAATATTATAAACTAAAATCGTGAAAGTTGGCTTAAAAAAAAGTCAAAAAATTAAACTTCAATTTTAAAATAAAATTTAATGTTTAAAAAATAATAAATAAAAATATAATGTAAAAAAAAATAAATTTTTTTAAAAATTAAATGCTTTTATTATGGCGTCGTAAAAAGTAATAAATAATAGAGAAAAATTGTAGAACTGTTTAAAATTCAAAGTTGAAATTTCACAATGGATGGATTCATTCAACTTTGAATGCTTTTAGAAATTAATTTTTCTTGAACCTTAAAAAAAAATCAATTTCAAAAAATACTCAGAACTGTCATGATCTTTTTGATTTGATTTGAATTAAAAAAAAACATTTGTAATAATGTAACTAATTTTGTCAAACATAAATTTTTTCACGTTTTTTCTTTTAATGAACTTTTAAACAATTCTATAAAATTTTTCTCTATTATTTATTACTTTTTACGACGCCATAATAAAAGCATTCTATTTTTAAAAAAATTTATTTTTTTTACATTATATTTTTATTTATTATTTTTTAGTTTATAATTTAAAAGATAGAACTTTAAATAAAAGCATTCTAAAAAAAAGTCTAGAAAATTTCTTGAAAGTTCTATAGATTTCTAGAAAATTCTATAATATTTTTAGAAAGTTCTTTAAATTAATCTATAGATTTCTAGAAAATTTATATAAATTTATAGAAAATTCTTTAAATTTCTAGAAAGTTATATAAATTTTGTATAAAACTCTTTAATTTTCTAAAAATTTCTATAAATTTTTAGGAAATTCTATAAATTTCTAGAAAGTTCTATAAAATTTCTATAAAGTTTTATAAATTTCTAGAAAATACTATAAATTTCTAAAAAGTTCTATAAATTTTGTATAAAATTCTTTAATTTTCTAAAAATTTCTATTAATTTTTAGAAAATTCTATAAATTTCTAGAAAGTTATATAAAATTTCTATAAATTTCTATGAATTTGGTAAAAAAATTCTATAAATTTCTACAAAATTCTATGTATTTCTAGAAAATTCTGTAAATTTTCTAGAAAGTTCTATAAATTTCTTGAAAATTCTATGAATTTCTGGAAAATTCTATAAATGTCCAGCTATTTCTGTAAAGTTTTTATAAACTTTCTTGAAAAATTTATGAAGTTTCTTAAAGTTTAGAGCAATATTATTCAGATAAAAAATAGAATTCGTTTTACAATTATATAGTAATGGGATAGATTTACAAAATTCAAAATTGGCGCCAATTTTTAAACACGCAATTTCGCCATCTATCGATGAAAAAATTGCTGATGAATTTAGGTTATGTTTGTGTAAAAAATGAGAGTGTGTAAATTTCTTTTATAATTTTTTGTTTTTATAAATACTTTACTAATAATATAAGTGTAATTACTTACTTCCATGGCTGTTTTACATCGAGCATTATTTACTTGGTTCAATTTTTTGATATTTCTAATATTACTCGTTCTTCGACTCGATCAAAGAATACAATGGAATTGGTTTATTGTTTTTATGCCAATGTGGATTCACGACAATATTTTACTGATATACATCATATTTCACATGATATCACATTGTAAAAATGGCCCTAATCGCATTATTCTCACACTTAGAATAAAGGTGAGTACAAAAGACGAAAAAAAACACACCCTTGGCCAATGAAATGTATTTAAATTTTTAGCCGACTATATATATATAGGGGTAACTGAATTGTAATCTGAATAGTCAAATGGGGTTTTTGAATTATTCTAACTTTTTACCCAAACAAAGAATATATAAATATTATTAAATATATAAACTTTAATAAAATAAAAAACATTCAGATAAGTTACATAAAATAACAGGCGCTGAATATATATTTTAGAATTAAGAAATTTTTGTATAACTTTAATGTACAACTCTCAATGATAAATAAATATGGTTTTCAAAGTCAAAAAGTAATCTGAATAGTTTAATAAATTAAAATTAAGAAGTAATTAATATAGAATTCTTGAAATTATTGAAGAAAAAAAAGTAAATTTTAAAATATAATTATCTTTTGTTAGAAATAATACAAATCAATAAAAATGCGAAAATACATTGAGTTATATCGTCAAAATTTGAGGTTAATTTAAGGTTATTGGCAATGTTTTCAAAAAATGCTAATATTTTATTATTAAAGTATATCGATTGATGTTTTCCATATATTTTTTATAAATAAATAAAATAAATTAAAATCTTATTGTATTTTTTTGTTATATGGGAAAATTAATTTATTCTTTTAATTTATTTAATTTTTTTTAATTTCGATGAATTTTTTTTAATCCATGCATTTTTTATAAATAAATTGAAATATTTTTTTTTTGTTATATGGGAAAATTAATTTATTCTTTTAATTTATTAAATTAATTTTTTTAATTTCGATGAATTTCTTTTAATTCATATATTTTTTTATAAATAAATTGAAATATTATTTATTTTTTGTTATATGGGAAAATTAATTTATTCTTTTAATAAAGATAAATAAAATAAATATTAATAATATTTTATTTAATTAATTTTTCCAATTTCGATGAATTTCTATTAATTCATATATTTTTTTTATTTTTATTATTATTTATTCTTGTATACTATGTACATAGTTAATTTAATTATAAACAATTAAAATATTTTTTGTTTTTTGTTCAGGAAAAAATTTTTTTTTTGTTTCATTCACAATTATTGTAAACAAATTGATTAAACAATGTAATTTAATTGAGTTATTTTAAATTTTTCAGCCTTGGTACATTGTTATTGCAGTACTTTTAAAAATGAGCGCACAGATATTAATCTGTTTGAAACTTGAAGTTCCACAGTGGCAAATTTCGGCAAAAGCAGTTTTGGCTCCATATTTAGTTTTATTTTCAGCGTTGGCCGTCGATGTCTTTTTTGATCTCATCATAAGTTCTCGTCTTACTTTATAAAAATAATAAAATGTCTTCCATTCGTAACATTCCATATTCATCAGGTAATTACAAAAAAAAATTGTATTTTTTTTTTATTTAATTTTAATATCCCTTTTTTTCTAAAAAAAATACAATTCCTTTTTCTTTTTTGAGAATTTAAAAAGAGCTGTTTTTAAAATTTTCAATTTAAAATAAAAATCAACTTTTTTAGCAGGATACAATATTACATAATTCAAGTTTCTTACATCTTTGACGATAAACGATCGAAGCGTGTCATCAGATCGAACAATTACTGAAACATTTCAATAGACTTTAATAGACAATAGAATGATAATAAAAGTTCGACCCGCGATAAATTAAATTCAACTCGCGAGTCTCGCGACGGAGAGAAAAAAAAATAACGCAACATCCAATTTGTGGCTTATTTTTTTTTTCTCTCTTTTATTTATTTTCATCATCAAGTAATTTTATGTGACGTAATTTATTTGCCAATATTTTTTTTTTCCAAGATGATGATTCTTTTGTGTTTTATTATTTTTCGCTGATTGATTATATGGGGGTCTCGATTGGAATTTCCTCGTGTTTAGTTTACTTTAGAAAAAATGATTGTGATGATGATGATGATGATGATGATGATGATGAGTGGCAGAGAGACAAAACTCTCGCTATAAATACTTGCGAATGAGCCAAGGATGAATAGGACAGAGAGATATAAATAAGTAAAACTAAAAGATCATTATTACCAAAGCATTCTCATTTATATTAGTTCAGTAAGCAAAATGTTATCAATTTTTTGAGAGTGAATTTAAAAAAAAAAATATATTTTTTTGAATTTATTTATTTATTCAATAGAATGAATGTAAAATTGCATTTCTTGAGGTAAATTACCAAGCGGACAATTCATCAAGTGCTAATTAAGTTTCCTCGGTGACATTAGAAAAAAAAACATGTGTTTTTCAAGAGAGGGAAAAAAAATTGTTTCTCCTCCCTTTTTTTGTTATTATAGTCTTACAGTTGAGAGCAAATAGATTCGTCAACGAGTTGCAAAAAAAAAAAATTGTTAGCAAGTGATTTTTATATTTATTAAAATTTTCCGTTTTCTATTCTTATGTAATAGATTTTAATTTTTAATAGCAATTTTTCCTTTGAAATTTTGTTTGGAAACAATTTTTTTCGGTTTATGTAAAATGAAAAATTTTTTTAAAATTATTGCTGTTTCGTTTGCAGATGAAGGAAAAATTAATTGCTTTATTATTATTGTCACTGATTGTGACGAATTATGAGGCTGAATCAGTGACAGTGACGGAAGTGAAGGCGGGAAATTTGGCTGAATTACCCTGCCCGAGTAATGATGATCATCATCGATTTATGTTTTGGCAATTGTCGGACGAAAAAATTATTGTCGGTCCCGGAAATCCGATCGATCAAGAAAAATATAATTACGAAGTTCTCACTGGTAAACTACTCATTAGGGTAAGAAATCTAATAATTCATTTTCAAAATGCAAATTCAATTTTTTGAATTCTAATAATAAAATTTTAATTGATTTTTATTACTTTTAATATAATAATAAAAATAGAAAAAAACGGATTTTGAATTCTTAAAAATTGAAAACAAAATCTAAATTAAATTTTAAATATTAAAACTATTTTTTTAAATCTTCAGGGAGTTTCGACATTGGAATCTGGTTTTTATAAATGTTTTTCACGGGGACTTAATGACGCCTCGTCAATTAATATCCGCGCGGTGGAATTAATTGTCACAAAGGAAATAAATCCAGAAAGTAATTTTGAGGTAAAAAGAAAAACGAATTTTCAATTTTCGGATAATAATTTAAAATAATTTTCTTTAATTCAATTTTTGCAGAGAAATCTTTTGAGAGGATTAACAACAGTTATGTTAATACTCGTGGCAATAGCAATTATTCTTCTTATAATTGTTTATCGGAAAAAGAAAACTCATCGATTTTTTGGTAAGAAAATTTTGCAATTTTTTTTCTTCCGATAATCGATATTTTTTTCCTAAATTACAATTTTTTTTCTACCCAAAAAAAAAAACAGAAATGGACGAGTCTCGTGAAAATTCACCGGCGAAATATAATGATAAAATATCCAATACAACAATAACGACGCCAACAACGAGAACAATGCCAATGCCAACAACTTCTTCGGGAAAAATTGGTGTCGATAATTCGGGTCTTGATGTGGATTTTCCAAAAGTTTTCGTTCACATGCAAAAGGAAGAGCCACTTTTTTGAGAGAGAGAGAGAGAAAGAGAGAGGCAAAAAAGAAAAAAAAGAGGGGAAAATATATTTCTAAATCGGAATAAAATTTTCTTTTCAGAAATTTTTTTTTTTCCGAATTAGTTTAAGAAAGCTAACAAGGCTGTGTAGTTAAAGTTATTAATTATTGATACTAAAAAAAAAATTGTAAATATAACTTTCGTATTTTAATTTTAATCAAAATAAAAATTTTACTTACAAAAAAAAATTGAAATTATTTACATTTTTTTTTTTTGTTTCTTAAATTATTTTACAAAAATTTTTTCTTTGATGAAAAATTATTATTAACGACAAAATTAATAATAATAATTTTTTTTCAATTTTCTTGTATACTTGCCGTTGTAATTTCCATCATACTATCGTCGTTAATTTCTTCATCATCATCTTCTTCCTCGTCATCGAGTTCAACTTCCGTTTCGAGTAGACGAATTTTACGACAATTATCACTTAATATTGCCGCAACTTTACGTGCACCACTTGTTGACAATTGTTTTGCATTAATACCATCAAATGCACGTGGCCACATATCAATTAAATCATTTAAATCAAAATTTTCCCTATCGCGATTAAATAATTTTGTATTTTTTAACGCGAGATTTATCAAATAACTCGATTCATTTTGTGAATCAAATATTAATAAACTCAAAAATTCCTGTGAATAAAATTGTAAATCATAAAATTTACAATCATTCGTTGATCTTGATGTTGAAAGACCTGGAAACAAAAAAATTGAAGAATAAATAAACCAAAAAAAATAAAAATAATTTTAATGAAAATCAAATTATACCTTGATCCTCATCAATATCGATGGAAATTTTTTTAAATGACAAATTTTGTTCCTCATTCTCATGGCGATTTATCATAAAAATATGAACAATTTTCATCTCTTCATCGCTAATGGCAACAAATAAATGATCATCAGTGTTGACAATTTGTGAAAATGATTGATAATTTAAAACATGATCAATTGTGACATGGGAAATGAGAAAATAATCCGTGAGTCCCTGATAGGATTTGGCAAAAAGTAAATTTATTGCCTCAACAACATTGTCGTGTGATTGTAATAGTGATGAATCAAGATCCTGTTTAATAATCAATGAATGATTGTGTAGACATAAATTTTCATTCAATAATGATGCCCATTCGCTACCTTCGGATTTTAAACAATTTTGCAATGGTTCACGACGTAAATATTGTCCTAATTTTTCTAAATTCACACCCTTACGTCCACTGCAATTACCAGCTTCGGTATTATCGAAACCGCGTAAAAATTCAGCAATATAAGTTAATTCCTGTTGACTTAATTTATTTATTTCCGGCGGTACTCTCTCGTCGGTTAATCGTAATATTACCACGTACAACCAACTGAAATTTTATTAATTAAATTATTATTTTTTTTGCTCCCATTTTAATTTTTTTTATTTTATTATTATAAAAAAATGGAAGCAAAAAATAAATAAATTTGATTTTACCGAAAGAATGCTTTGTAGTCGCGCATACTGTGATCGATAACTTGTTGTACCTCTGATGTTTTGGCGAGAAATGCTTGAATTGTATGCAATGCACCTGTAATTGGTGTTTCTTCAATTAATCCAAGTGATTCATAATCACCGCCAAGTCTTGCCATTCCAAGCATTTCGGATATTTGATAGGCCAACGCCATACCGGCGCTGTTTAGGTGTTTTAATACCAATTTCTGTGCGTTAAAAAAAAAAGAAGAAGAGAATTTTATGTAATTCAAATTATTTAATAACAAAAATTCCAATTCATCAAATTTTAATTTGTTCGAATTTTATTTTGTACGAATTTTTAAGGCTTTGAATTTTTATTTACACAAAAATTTTAATTGATAAAATTTTTAAAGCGCCGAATTTTAATTTGTACAAATTTTTAAGGCGCCGAATTTTAATTTGTCCGAATTTTATTTTGTACGAATTTTTAAGGCTTCGAATTTTTATTTACACGAAATTTTAATTGATAAAATTTTAAAGGCGCCGAATTTTAATTTGTCCGAATTTTATTTTGTACGAATTTTTAAGGCTTCGAATTTTTATTTACACGAAATTTTAATTGATAAAATTTTAAAGGCGCCGAATTTTAATTTGTACGAATTTTTAAAGCACCGAATTTTAATTGGTCCAAATTTTTAAGCCTCCGAATTTTTATTTGTACGAAATTTTAATTGATAAAATTTTAAAGGCGCCGAATTTTAATTTGTACGAATTTTTAAGGCACCGAATTTTAATTGGTCCAAATTTTAATTTTTAAGGCGCCGAATTTTAATTTGTACAAATTTTTAAGACTCCGAATTTTAATTTGTACGAATTTTTAAGGCGCCAAATTTAAATTTGTACGAATTTTTAAGGCACAGAATTTTAATTGGTCCAAATTTTAATTTGTACGAATTTTTAAGGCGCCGAATTTTAATTTGTCCGAATTTTATTTTGTACGAATTTTTAAGGCTTCGAATTTTTATTTACACGAAATTTTAATTGATAAAATTTTTAAGGCGCTGAATTTTAATTTGTACGAATTTTTAAGCCTCCGAATTTTAATTTTTACGAATTATTAATGCCCCGAATTTTTATTTGTACAAAATTTAAATTAAATTATTCTTAAGGCGACGAATTTTAATTTGTCCGAATTTTTAATTGATAAAATTTTAAAGGCGCCGTATTTTAATTTCTACGAATTTTTAAGGCGACGAATTTAAATTTATCAAAATTTTAATTTGTACGTATTTTTAAGGCGCCGAATTTTAATTTTTACGAATTATTAAGGCTCCGAATGTTTATTTGTACGAAATTTTAATTGATAAAATTTTTAAGGCGACGAATTTTAATTTGTCCGAATTTTTAATTGATAAAATTTTAAAGGCGCCGAATTTTAATTTCTACGAATTTTTACGTATTTTTAAGGCGACGAATTTTTATTTGTACGAAATTTTAATTGATAAAATTTTTAAGGCGCTGAATTTTAATTTCTACGAATTTTTAAGGTTTTGATTTTTTATTTTTATCAAATTATTTAATTTAAAATATATTTTTGAAGGCGCCGAATTTTAATTTGTACGAATTTTTTAGCCGCCGAATTTTAAATTGATAAAATTTTTAAAGCGTCGAATTTTATTGTGTCCAAATTTTTAATTGTAAAAATTTTTAAGGAGACAAATTTTAATTTGTCCGATTTTTTAATTGATAACACTTTTAAGGCGCCGAATTTTTATTTGTCCGTTATAACAAATGTCAGAACAAAACAGAAAGATTTCGGCGCAATTTTTAAAAATCGACCAATCACATATTTCTCGACAAATTTCTAATTGGTCGAATTTTGAAAATTGCCCCGAAATTTTTCTGTTCGTTCGGCGATTTGTTATTTCGAATAAATTAAAATTCATCGAAATTGGAATTTCTGTAATTTAAAAATTTGAATCACACAAAATTCGTTTTTGAATGGCAATTCTGTTAAATTAAAATTCTCTTAAATAAAAAAGTCAAGTAAATTAAATGACTGTGAAATAAAAAAAAAAAATTCTACCAAATAAAATTACCGTAAAATTCGGTATGTTTAATTTAAAAATTTTGTTCAGTAAAAATTTTTCAAAAAAAAAAATTCAAATCCTAATTCTAAAAATTGAAAATTCATTTATAAAAATAATTTCTAATTCTTTAAAATGAAAATTCTAATTAATGATTTTTATGGGATTAATTTATGGCATTTATTTTATAAATACCTGAATATTGCTGTAACACATTTCAATGCTGTGTCCCAATTTTTTTAAACCCTTTTCCGTTAAATCGCGCAATAAAAAACTCTCCAAATTCTCCGATGGAATTCCAATCATGAGAAGCTCGAGAAAATCGGCAGCAACACTACCCGGTGGATTATTTTCAGCGTAGCGTGTTAATTTTTCATCCATCTCAAGGAGTATTGTCTCCCATGCTTCGGTGATTGCCATTAAAGTTCGCGAGAGATAATCCATTAAATATTCCACATTTGCTTGAGCTTGAGCGACCTTAGAGAAAAAAAAAATAAATTTTGTTTTTTAAATATTTTGCATCAATTTTATCTCTTTTTTTGGAAAATTGAGAATTTATTTTCTTTTTTAATTCTTTTTTATTTGAAGAGAAAAGAAAATCGAACCTTGAGGAATGCGTCGCTACTCTCGAGTAATGTACAAGAAAGTTTATTGACAATAATTCCATTAGTGCCTTTCCAACTAGCCCATAAAGGTTTTCCAGAACCTCCGCTAATTTCTAAAATTGGTCCTTTTCCAACGCTCAATGTTCCACAGTAGAACATTCCAAAAATATACATTCCTATTTCCCCCGTCTCTTGACCTGTCTGAATTTTCAAAAATTCTACATATTTATTTCAATCAAATTTTTCTTGGAAATTAATTTTTGAAATAAAAAATATAAAAAATAGTAAAAAATTTTTTTCTGATTGAAAAAAAATTTTTCTTGCGACAACTCACAAAGAACATGTCGAGTTTCTGTAAGAGAAATTCCTTTTTCTCTGGTTCTTGACCAAAGCTACGATCAAGACTTGGCAATGTTGGTAAATAATTGCCAGTTGGCGATTGATTATTATCATTATTTGAATTGTGTCCTTTTAAATTTAATGGTAACCATGCCATACAAGTGATTGGTGAATTTTTTGACAATAAATTTGTTTTATGAACAATATTTTTATTTTCAACATCAACAAGATAGAGAATTTTTGATTCTCTATATGTGACGGCCAATAATTTTCCATCAGGTCGCCAACAAATATTTTCCACAAGGGCCGATTCATCCTGAGGTGGAAGTAACCATACTCTTTGAAATGTGAGCCTATGCAATGTTACTTCACCTGCCGAAAGAAAATTAGAAAAAAAAAATTTTTTTTTTACACAAAATTATAATTATACTATTAATACGTTAAAGAGGAAAAAAGAATAAATAATAATAATAATAGTAATAATAATATTAATAATAATAATAAAATTAAGTTAAATAATTAAAAATAAATTTTCAGTTAAACTGTTAATTTAAATAATTTTAAATTTCCCGCGCAAAACTTTGAAAGAAGGTGAGAGAAGGGGGACAACTTCCCGCGCTCTTTAGATAGCATAACCTTAAAAAATAGACGCAATAATCAAATTGACATTCAAGTATAACGACAATATATTATATGATTAGAAATCGAATTGATTAATATTCAACTGTTTCAAAGTAAAAAATGTACTATAAAAAGTTAAAAATACACAAAAATCGAGTTTATTCGAAAATCTCTCTAACGATTATTTTTTTTTTTTTCATCTTAGATTCAAATTACTCAGAAAATAATGTGGAATTAATATCTGAAGAGAGCCAAAATGGGCCAGTACTTTTGGGTTAAAGTTAGTCCAAGCCAACCGTTTATATTTAATAAATAAATGTCATTTGCATAGGCAAGTGAATATATATATGTAAAACGCTAACCTTTGACGTTGGCTAATGCCAAGAGGTCCATTTTCGGTGACCATCGCATTAACGTAACCTCCGTCGATAATTGACGTTCCTCTAATTGTCTCATAATTCCAGACATATTTAATTAATTTTTTTCAAGTAGAATATAAATATTTACAAGATTTACAATTTTATACGAATACATGACAATTAAGGTTATGTCGCCCCATAAAAATAGATTGTTGACATTTCTGATTGCTTTTTAAGGTTGGCAATATCTAATACTAATTTCGCGGGAAATTTAAAAGTATTACAAAAAATTTCCAAGGAAATTATAAAAAAAATTTAGATTCAAATTCAAGCGCAGTTATATTTATAACTTTTGAAACTTAGTATTAAAAAAAAACCTAACCTTAAAATACCTAAAAAATTTGGGAATAAAATAATTTAAAACCAAAAACTTTTTTTTATTAAAACATACTTCTATGAAAGGAATTGAAGAAAACAATTCTTAAATACTTTTTAAATGTAACAAGATAAAATTGAATAAAAAAAAAATTTTATTTATAGATGTGTGTTTTTAACAATTCAAAATGGTGATACTAAAAACACACACTATCCTTTTTTATCACCAGATGGCGTAACTATTAAATGTCTTCAAATTTTAAAAAGCGGAAACAATTTAATTTGCGCGCTACCGAATGCGTGGAAGAAAAAACAAAATATTTTTGTACGTAAGAAGAAGTTTATATTCAATTTTGTTTTTTTTTTTTTTGGGTGGGGGGAGAGAATGAAATTGAGGGGAGAATAACGCGCGGGGAACATAGATCCCACGTGATCGAGAGCAGAATTCGCGGCGTCCACCGAAAATCTAAATCCGTCCGAGAGCCAAGAAGAAGAAGAAGAAGAGAAGCGTCGATGGCTCCTTGAGCCTCGAAGGAGTTTTCGAGCGATAGTCAATAATCGTCTCCACATTGAATCGGATTCATTATCATTTTTATTATTAATATTATTATTATTATTATTTTATTACTAGGATAATTATTTTGTTATTATTAGTATTATTTTTATTATTAGTATTATAATTATTATTAATATCATCATCATCATTGTTGTCAGTAAAAATTAAAATCGTTTCGCGAATTTAGAAAAAGATAATATTTCGCGAGTGTTTGAAAAAAAAAAATTTATCATCAGTATTGTTGGTTTACGAAAAAAAAAAATGATTCGTGTCGACGAAACGGATCCGGTTGGTGGTAAGATTTTTTTTTTTTTCTTCTTTATTTCAGTGAGACGCAACACAGAAATAATAGTAGAAACATATCTCTTCCGTGTCTTTGGCAATAAGTGTCCGTGACCCGTGTGTGATTCTAGAACGACGCGCGCATCTTTTTTTTTTACTGTCAAAAAAAATAAATAAAAAATTTAGATCCACAATTGTTTGGCGAACAAAAAGAAAATGAATGAGAAATCAATAATTTTTTTTTTTGACTCTGAAATTAATTTTTACAGAATAAATATTTTTAAATAATTCTAAAATGTGAAGATTTTTGAAAAATTAAAATATTCTAAATTCTTTGAAAAAAGAGTTAAAACTCGTCTCTGTCTCTTTTTTTTTTTTATTAACGAAGCTCTTTATTTTTATCTAGGACAAGGTTTTCGAAGATTCTTGAGTATTAGCAAACGATTGAATTTAGTGACAAATATTTATAGCTATATATCTATTGGTTTTAATTTTTAAAATTTTTAAATTTTTAAATTATTTTAACAAGTTTCTTTGTTTATTAATTTTTAATTTAATATCAAATTTCTTTTTGTACCGTAATTTGCAAAAAATTCATTCTGTTAAATTAGATTAAAACATAAATAATTTAAATTATATCTCATTTATGAATTAATTTGAACCAATTTCAAAAAAATTCCCCAAATAACAGATTATAATTGCATATTTAATTTAAATGTTTAATTTGTAATTAAACTCCAATTTCCTCTGCCAAATTATATAGAGTGAAAGAAAAATTTTGACACCTAACAGTGACATACACATTATTACTATTATTATTAAACTTAATTTCATTTTTGAAATTTCATTTCAGAAATTGAGCCAAGTTTTCCATACAGAGCTGTGACTGTACGAAAAGGAGTTCAATTTAACGATTGCTATGATACAGAATCGGAAATTGGCAGGTAAATTTCCAATTATTATAAAAAAAAAAAATTAGAGAAAAAAAATAACATCAATTGCTTTTGTTGCAATGAATTTTTTTTTTTAAATTTTAAATGTATATGATGATCCATATTTGGCACACACGGATACATAACACACATTATATAGAGGTGCGAGAATAGAATAAATGTTTCAAAGCTTTTCCGAAGCGCGACAGGAAGCTGCGCAAAATTCTCCTCGTAATACTTTTCAAACCATCTGCGTTCATATATTTTATATTTAAAAACGTAAATACAAAACGATACACCTCAAATGCGTTTTGTAAATCAGATATATGACGAAGAATTATACGTTTGTATTCGCCACGAGGAAATGCGAATTTGAAAGAATGTCTGCGCGTCATGAATTAGGAGGATTGAATGGTTTGAAAATTCTCCCGTGGGCGTTGAGAAATAATTTTTGATTCATTTTGTTATTCTATTATTGAAATTTTACTTTGAAATTCCACATATATTAACGTGATATAAAATAATAGATTCCAAAAGCCAAAGATAATTTTTTGTTTAAATCGTAGGATTTAATAATTCTGCTAAAACCCTTCGAGGAAATTATGATTCTAGATATTCGGTTACCGCAGGGATTTGGTACTAGTTGCAAGAGATTGGAGTTCTGGATGTATTTCCCTTAATCCGGTATTTAGGCCTTATTCGGAGACATCAGGTTAACATTATTTATTATCTGATAGGGTAACAATTACTTGTGATCCAATTTATCTAGTCTCTGTACTAAAGTCTCCGAATCCTGAAGTTCAAGAAATTGGAGTTCTGGAAGTATTTCTTTCAATCTTCTAATTAGGCCTTATTCGGAGACATTATTAGCATCATTCATTTTATTTTGATAACCCTTTCTTGTGATCCAATTCATCTAGTCTGGCTCTTCCTGGCCGCTGACTACAACTGCGAACTACGTCTTGAAGTTTGGTCTTAAGGATTATCAGATTTCTACCTTCTGGTTTTTCGAATACTTCCAACTGTTCCTAGACTTCTACTTTTTGGATAAATACAAGTTCTTGTGAAGATAACTCAGAATTATGATTCTACCAGGGATCTGGTACTCCTTGCGAGAGATTTTTTTGGCTTTCTCAAGGGCTGTACTATAAAGTCTTCGAATCCTCCATTTTAGGCAATTGGAGTCCTCCTAGATGTATTAATCTTAATCCTCTATTTAGGCCTTATTCGGAGACATCAGGTTAGCATTATTTATTTTCTGATAGGGCAACACTTTTTTGTGATCCATTTTATCCAGCCTGTCCGCATCTTCTAGATCGGTGACTACAACTGTGAGCTCCATCCCTCGAGGGTTTGATTCTGAGAACCATCGTATTCCTACTTCCTAGCTTTTCTAACATTTCTTGCTGAAATTTTTCTCCCTGGGTTAGGCAATCCAAGTTGCGGATCTCAACACCGAAATCCAAACTTTTCAGCTTCTCGGTATCATCCGCAATAAAACTCTTTTTATTTGGAGTCGTTTCCGATGTTAATCAGAAATTGGATTTAACGTTTTGTTCTTGTAAAAATCTATTTTTGCTTTCTCTAGGGATTCATAGCAATTATTCCCTTTAATGATTATTAATTGAACAATTACTGTATTGTACCATTAAATCTACCAAAGATATTGTTATGATTTTTATCGTTTTGTTTTATCTACTGTTTTGATGGTACTAATAAATATTTATAAAAAGAAATATTTCAAATTAACAATTATTTTATTCCTTTTTTTTTAATAAGAAAACAATTTTTTTGTAAATTTTAACTATAGGGATAAGGAAATTCCAAACGATGATGTCCCATTTACCCGAATTGCATACAGCAAGATGCAGACGCGCATGACTCATGGAGTCTTTTTTAGATCCTTAGTGGGTCAAATCTTATATGACCCACCATTAGATTTTCTGTCCGTGGTCGTGGTATATTTCTTGTAAATAATTTTCAATATTAAATGAGAAATTGAAAATTAATATTTAAAAAAATAATTACTACTTTTTTAAAAATTTCAAACGTTGACAAAACTTTTCTTGTCTCACAGAAAAAAAATTTTTTTCACCAACAAAATGAATTAAAATTATATTTTTTCAATATTTAACCCCTGGGGCGATTCGTTGTTTTAATAAAATAACACATTGTTAAAGAATCTCTATACACGTGTAATTTAGAACACGCAATAATTAAATATCAACATGTATTGAATTTGTATCGACAGAAAAAATGTTGTAAATATAATATATTGAGTAACAAAAGTCTATAGAAACCTTTTTTTTTGGCTGTGTATCAAAGATCGAAATTGCTTTTTTGAAATTAAAAAAAATTCTTATATTATTTTTTTTAATTTACATTATCAAAAATTTTTTTTATTAATATTATTATAAACTTGAATAATATTCTAAAAATAATATAAATGTTGGAAGTTTGAAATTCGATTGGAATGTGAAACTAAATGTAATTATATACATTAGTGGAAAAATTAAATTTAGAAAAGCGAGTAATTTGACAGTAAAATATATAATTTACAAAAGCGAACGGGGTTTTACGACGCTCCATAAAGTAGATTCTCAACTGAAGTTTAAAGTAAACAATATTTATTCTATTTTTTTAAACCAAATTTTTTTTTTTTTTTTTTTTTGAGTTTAAAAATATTTTATCTATATTTTTTTTTGTTCATTTCGAAATACATTTATGTGTATTTATAATAAATTCCAAAATGAGTTTGAGAGTGAGAAGATGGAGAGTGAGGATGAAAGACGAAAGGAAAATGTTTGGGTAATCAAGGTCTTTGGGGATCTATAAATAATGTATTTCTGTTTTGTTGGGGGTGACGTTGTTATACGTGCCGGGGGTCGACGGGACCGATCGCACGCCACTGATGAAAGCGTCGCGACGCTCTTGACACGCGGGTTCAAAAGAACGCGAGCCACAAATCGACGAATGCTAATAACACACGTTCTTTCATTTCATTCAACTTCAATCTTTCCTTTTTTTACCAATTATTTAAGAAATGCATCATTTTTTTTACAATAGATGGAAAATTAATTACTTAAAAGTTAATAATTTAATTAATTAGTTTAATCGAATTAATTAATTACAATGATCGAAATAATTACAATAATCTAATCAACCAATTAATTACGTTACTTGAATTAATTAAATTCATTTATTGAATTCATTAATTGCATTATTCGAATTAATTAATTAGATTGCAAGACTTAATTATTTCGTTTATAGAATTAATTAATTACATTAATCGAAATAATTAATTACATTGTTCGAAATAATTTCACTAACCAAATTAATTAATTATATTACTCGAATTAATAAATTACATTAATTGAATTAATTAATTACATTATTCGAAATAATTACAATAATCTAATCAACCAATTAATTACGTTACTTGAATTAATTAAATTCATTTATTGAATTCATTAATTGCATTAATCGAATTAATTAATTAGATTGCAAGACTTAATTATTTCGTTTATAGAATTAATTAATTACATTAATCGAAATAATTAATTACATTGTTCGAAATAATTTCACTAACCAAATTAATTAATTATATTACTCGAATTAATTAATTACATTACTTGAATTAATTAATTACATTATTCGAAATAATTACAATAATCTAATCAACCAATTAATTACGTTACTTGAATTAATTAAATTTATTTATTGAATACATTAATTGCATTATTCGAATTAATTAATTAGATTGCAAGACTTAGTTATTTCGTTTATAGAATTAATTAATTACATTGTTCGAAATAATTTCACTAATCAAATTAATTAATTATATTACTCGAATTAATTTTAATATTCAAAATAATGACAGTAATCGAATTAATTAATTAATTACAGTGCTTGAAATAATTAATTATGTTTAACGAATTAATCAATCAATTATGCTATTTGAAATCATTAATTTCACTTATGAAATTAATTAATAATATTACTCTAATTAATTACGCTATGCAAAATAATACTAATCATATAAATTAATAACAATACTCGAATCAATTAATTACATTATTTGAATAAATTTATTACATTACTCGAATCCATCAATAATTTTTGTCAAAGTATTTAATTGCGATTGTAGAATTAATTACAATTATCGTAATAATTACACTAATTAAATTACTTAATTACGTTACTCGAATTAAATAATTATACACACTAATCGAATTAACTAATTTCTTTTGTTGAAATAATTAAATACTTTTAACGGATTAATCATTCAATTACATAATTTGAAATAATTGATTTCATTAATCAAATTAATTAATTAATTTGCTACCTCTAACTTATTAATTCGAGTACCATTATTAATTAATTAATTCGAGTAATGTAATTAATTAATTCGATAAATGAATTTAATCAATTCGAGTAACGTTATTAATTGGTTGATTTAATTAGTGCCATTATTTCGAATAATGTAATTAATTAATTTGTTAAGCGTAATTAATCAATTCGAGTTACGTAATTAATTATAATTAATTCAATAAAAAAAATTAATTAATTTTGAGTAATGTGATTAAATAATTTCAGAAATGCGTAATTAATTAATACAAGTATCGTAATTAATTGGTTGATTCGATTAATGTAATTATTTCAAATAATATAATTAATTAATTTGATAAACGTAATTAATCAATTTGATTACTGTAATTAATTAATTCAAGTAATATAATAATCAATTCATTCGTTATCACTTAATTCGATAAAGGAAATTAATTAATTCGATTAGTGTAATTACTTCAAATAACGTAATTAATTAATTAGAGTAATGTAATTAATATGATTAATGAAATTAATTATTTGAAGTAATGTAATTGATTGATTAATTCGTTAAACGTAATTAATTCTTTTGAGTAATATAATTCGAGTAACGCAATTATACTTAATTAATTCGATTAGTATAATTATTTCGAATATTAAAAATAGTTAATTTGAGTAACGTAATTAATCAATTACTTATACTAAGAATCACTTATTCTTTATTATTAAATTAGTCAATAATCATTTTTGATAATTAATTTTATACTTCACAGTAAAAACAAAATCTGAAACCGAATGTAAGCTTACTTTAATTTTTAACTTATTTTAAGCAAGAAACTTTATTTAATAATGAAAATTAGCTTAAAATAAGAGTTAGTGGTTCTCTTACTATAAATAAGCTTATAATTCGACTGATTTTTAATTCACTGGTCTTAAGTAAAAAAAAGACGACAGTGACTTTTTAAAAGTCTTTACTTGAGCTGGGTGTCAGTCCGCCGAGTCTTAAAGTGGTAGTTGTGACGTCACAGGCAAAACGTCTGTTGTGAAAACGCCATAGCGTACGCGTACAGTGAAGCGTGGTTGAGAAATGATTTTCTCGTGTTTTAATTTTGGTTTTATTCATTTATAATTCACAAGAATGGGTTTTTTTACTGGGTTTTTAATATCGGATATTCCAGCAAAGCACGCATATCTTTCACCTTTGTCTCAGCTATACTATTTAGAAAAAAAGTCGCTAAATATTACCAAAAGTACAAAACTGTGTGGAACTTGTTGGAAGAGCTTAAATTATTCTAAACTGTTAATTCCTAAGTTTATATATATATATATATATATTACGTATAATGTTATTTTTTAAATTTAGTTTGCAGAATTGAAAATGAAAATGACAAGATTTTTTTAAATATAAAAGTTCCTCGTCATTTTCATTTAAATAATGCAAATTTATAAATTAGAAAAAATTGTTATAAGTAATATAAATATATATATATATATATATATATATATCAAAATTCTAATATGCTTTTAAGTCATAATTTAGGATTATTATCACACCAGGTTAACGCTGAAAGACAGTCTGTAAGGAAGCTTAATTTCAGCCCTCTTTTAACATAAGACTAAATGATAGTCTAAAACCTAACTGAATTTCAGTTCTTCAACAAGCTTAGAGCTAAATTTCAGCTCGTATGACATCTTACTTATAGTAAGATAAGGGTATTCTTTTTAAACATTTTTTGAGTACTGATTTTCAGTCAATATGATCTACTTCCGTTTACATCTTGAAAAAAGACAACTTATAAGCTTAAAAGAAGATTTTGTTTTTACTGTGTTGATATTTTATATAATTGATATAATTGATAATGAATTAATTAATAAATGTATTGATTTTTAATCAATTAATTAATTTTGTAACAATAAATTAATGAACGTATGATTAATTAATTACTTGATATAAATAATTTAATTCGTTGTTTAAAAATTCATAATTAAATATTTTTACAACAATTTAAAATGAAGAATTTCTTAATTTTTATCATTTTTCTTATTAGAATTTTCTTGTGCTACTGATACGATATGACAGCTTTTTGGCCAAATGACAAATCACACACACACTCACATACACATTGAACTATTTTTGCCAATTCAAGTAGGAAGTTGTTTGTATATTATTTCCTCTATTTCATTTATGATTCATTTTACATCGTTCGTTGTCATTTTAATGTCAGAATAGTTTTTTTATAACATAAATTTGTTTCCTTTATTTCAAAATAAACGTAAATTAAATAGATTTTTGATGATTTTTAATATAATAACGGATTTTTAAATTCAAAATGGCGGCTCCAATATGGCGTCCATTTTTTTGTATTATTTACTCATAATTGTTTTAAAATAAATGTTTTGGAGGATTTTGATTATGAATTTTATATTTGATTTCAAAAATTATATAAATGTAATAATTTCAGTACTATATACAATGAAAAGTCTTTAATTTAACAAAAATTCTGTAATTATTTTTTTTTGTAGGGGAAAATTTGGCACAGTCTATCGATGTAAAGAAAAGAAAAGTCAATTGGCTTTGGCCGCCAAGGTGGTGAGTACCACGAGGAAGGAAGATAAACGTGCTGTGGAACGTGAGGTCGAAATCATGAGAAGGTTACAGCATCCACGTTTGATTCAACTCTACGATGCCATCGACACTGGGAAACAAATCTACGTTATTTTAGAACTGTAAAATCATAATTAATAATCATAATTGATAATAATAATAATAATAATAATAATAATAATATAATAAAAATCAATATTAATATAAATATTTTAAATAAATATACTGATAATTAAATATAGTTTTCAATTATATTTTCTGAAATTATTTTTTAGCATTCAAGGAGGCGAATTATTCGAGAGAGTTATCGATGACGATTTTTTATTGACAGAACGAAGCTGTGCAGTCTTTATGCGTCAAATTTGTGAGGGAATCGAATTTATTCACGGACAGCACATTCTACATCTTGACATGAAAGTAAAAAAAAAAGAAAAAAATTTGCATTTTATACACGATATTGAATATTGAAAAATTGATATTTAATAATTTTTTTTTTTTTTTGTAAAGAAGAAAATTAAAATTAAATTTCTTTTTTATTGCAGCCTGAAAATATTCTTTGTCTAACGAAGGAGGGTAATCGAATAAAAATAATTGATTTTGGCTTAGCAAGAGAATATGATCCAAAGAAAAAATTACAAGTTTTGTTTGGAACACCGGAATTTGTTGCGCCAGAAGTTGTGAATTTCGATCAAATTGGCTTTGGCACAGACATGTGGAGCATTGGTGTCATCTGCTATGTATTGTAAGTTTTAAAAAGAAGACAAATTACATTATAAAATCATGTTCCATTTGCCAGTGGGAATGAAAATAGATTTTTTTCTCTCTTCCCTTTCCTTTTCACCAATCCCCTCGGTTTTGAATGAAGTGGAAAATTGTACAAATCGACTTAAAGGAGATTACAAATTGTTGCGAACGATGAGAGAGAGACATATAGTTCACATTTCATCGAGGTTGAATTTAGTCGATTACATTTTGAAATATCAGATTTTCGTTTTAGCATTTAAATATTTAAATTTTCATTTCTATAATTTTGAATATATAATTTTTTCTTTTAAATTAGAAATAATTTTTGAATTTAATTAAATTCCTCTAGATTATCTGGTTTATCTCCATTTATGGGTGACACTGACATTGAAACAATGGCAAATGTGACAATTGCAAAATACGATTTCGATGATGAAGCCTTCTCTGGAATTTCAGACGATGCTAAAGATTTTATCAGATGTCTCCTCGTCAAAGATATCTCGTAAGTATTAAATATTTATCTCTTTCAAAAAAAAAAACCATTTTGCTGCTCGTTCGTCTTTGTTTCATATAGATCCGCTAACAAAGCTTTTCTCTCCCTTCAAAAAAAAAAAATTCTTTTTAAAAAAAATTAAAAAACAGATTCTTGTATCGCTCGCGAGCCAAAGAAAAAAGAAATCATCGACGAGCGATCATCAAAAAAATATTGAGAAAAAAAAAGGGATTATTTCGAATCGAAAAAACATCTTTCCAGAAAAAGGGTGAACGCATCCCAATGTCGTCAACATCGATGGCTTTCAAGGAAAATAAATTCATCAGCAAAAAATGGACCAATAGAGGAAATAAAACCAAAAGGAATTACAAGTGGTAAAGAGGAATTGGATGTAACTAAGGATAATTTACGTTTATTTGTTGAAAGATGGCGTGAACATCCAAATAGTCCTTATACAATTGAAGTACAAACAATAATTGAAGTCGCTGCCAATTTTAATGAGAGGAAAATTAATAGTGGAAATAATAACAATAATAATAATAATAATTTTGAATCCATTTCTCTTTGTTGTCACACACCATCATCGTGTGAGAGTCTTTCGAGTTCAATTTCCGAATCGACGACAAATTCAACACGTGATCATAGTTCCGGATCGTTGCTTGCAATTCCAAATTTTGGTTTAGCTCTTGAACGACGTGCATCTGAGGGTGCAAGAGCACGCGATGCAGCTGCACAAATTCTTCTCGCTGAAGAAATCATTAAATTATCCGAGCATCTTCGTCTCATTGCAATGGGATCATCTGACACGACAAAGAAGACAAATGAGAAATTAAAGACTGTCGAGGAGAGGAGGAAGAGGAAAAACTCCAAGGATGATGAGGAAGAAAAAGACGAGGCGAAAATTGGAGAAACAGAATCAGTGAAGAAAAGTGGCAAAGAATTAAAAAAGAATGGAGAAGTGACGAATGACACTAAACTCGATGCAAGTAAAAAAGATTTAAAGACACTTCAAACTTCGAATAGAGAAGATTTGAAAAATCAGATAAATTCAAGCACCAATGAAGATAAAAACAAAATATCGAATATACTGAAGAAAGATGGTAAAACAAAGAGACCGGAGCTAAAAGAATCAAAAAAATCAGAAACTAAATCAAAGAAATCGATTAATAATGCAAAAAAAGTAGAATCAACGATAGTGAAAAAATCCCCAATTGAAGAGAAATCAGACGCCACTAAATCGAACCAAAATGAAGAAACAAAAAAATCCGAATTAAAATCATCACAAGCACTGAATCAAAAGGACATATCTAAAAATCAATTTGAAACCGAAGAAAATGAAATATCGCTAAAACTATCAAATATTGCACGACAAAGAAAATTAAATGGAACCACATTCAATGGAAATCGATTTGAAAAATTAGCCGATACAAATTCGGGTAATTTTACCCTAAAGAAAACAAATAAATTTAATACTGTTGTATTCAACGATAGTTTTGCAACAAAAATCACTGATAATTTTACCATAAAACCATCGTCATCATCATCATCGTCATCAACAAACGATAATAAAGAAATGGATTTAATTCCACCGTGGCGTAAATCAAGACCAAAAAGAAGATTTAGTGAATCGTGTCGTGATGTACCGCGTATAACAAATCTTCAGGATTTACATAAAACATTAAATTTAAATGAACCAAAAAGCACAAAGGATTTATTATTACAATTATTGACTGAATGGGATGATGCGAGACCAAATAATTCAACAAATACAACAATTATTGGACGTAAATCAAGTGTTGATTTATGGTGTGGCGATGAATCAATTGCACGACGTTCCATTAATTCGCTGGCCGAATATTTTCAAGCGGAGCAAAAAAAAAGTGCAACAACATCTGATTTAACATCGTCGATACAGCGTTAAGGAAAAATTTTTTTTTTTTTAAAAGATATTTTTTTTTTCTTTGGCTCGAGACAAGTATTGAATGTGATTATGATATATATGGGTTAAAGAGTTTTTTTCGTTAGAGTGAATTTCTTTTTGGAGTCAGAAATATTCTTTTTGAAAAATGATATACTTTTTGCTCCCAAAAAATGAAAGATTGCAATAATTTTTATTAGGGAGAATATTTTGACTTACAATTATTTTTTTTTTTTTTAATATTGATAGAGACAAAAGAGCTGTTATTGTATCTTGATATTTATTTATTAATGTTTATATATGAATTGAAATAAACTGTTTTAATTAAAAACAATTTTCGAGAAATTTTTCCCTTTCTATAAATTATTTTCTCGACTTTTTAAAATTATTGAAATTGGAAATAAAAATTCTGTTTTCCCTTATTTTTGCATTACTTTTCGTTGACTCTTTTGAATATTTGAATTTATAACTTTAATGTTAAAAATTTTTTTAAAAAAAACATAACCTAAAAAATGTAATTCAATTTATTTTTCTGCTTCGCAATGAAAATTTTTTTTTTCCCACTAAAATTGTAGCAATTATTGCCGTTATTTCTGCAATTTTGATGCTATATTAGAATATTGAGGCAATTTTAAATATCAGATTTTAACTGACAGATATTTATAACCAACATTTTCTGATTTGAAATATGTTTACTTTGTATCATCATATTTCTCAAAAGTATATATACTACTATGAAAATAATAATTCTATTTAATTCTTTGTCATTTTTAAATGGTTAGAGATATTATTTAAATTAACAAAATTATAATTGAGAAAAATATTTCAAAAAAATATCATATTTGATTACACTGTGCAACAGATTTTCATTTTTTTTTTTATTTCTGAGACCGCATTGATTCTTATAGGTTTTTCGACGCTGAGCACGAATCCGTAATCAGAATTGCTCTATCACTCTAGGTTTTCGAGAAATTTGACCTTGAAAATTGAAAAAATGCCGTTTTTAGGGTACTTTTTGATTTTTTATTACGGTACCAAAATTTTTTCTGAGGTTTTCATGATATGCATATGAAAGCTGATATATTGTAACATGATCGATTTATTTTCAGCCTTTAATAAGATGGTTAAATTAACTTATCTCATTCTATCAGTGTATACATATGTATGTATGGTTTATGTGAAATAGAAGCAGAAGACAAAAGTAGGCAACAAGGTTGGGTAGTCAAGATTTTCTTATTCAGGATCTCTTATGTTTACAAAATAATTTGGCTGCTGTCCCCTGGTAGCGTTTGACTACACAACCTTCTTGTTTATAACAAATTTTTTTTTTTCTTATTGTAGGTAATAATTTTTCATTTAATAACTTAAAAAGTGTTGTAATTAATTAAAGATCAATTCAACAATTAATGAATACGTATGATATAAATTTATTTCGTATAGCAAATAGTAGAACTAGTTGAAATGAGTTTTTTTTAGGTTATGTTACCAAAGAATATATGATTTTATATTGACAATAAAATATGAAATTGGTTTTTTTAAAAGTAGGCATTGTTTTAGAAGCGAATTATTACTAATTATTAATAATAATTATTAATTATAATGATTCTAATTTATATATTTAATTTAAATTAAAAGAATTTAAGAAATGTTAATTTTTAATATTTATTAAATTAGCAAAAGACCACGAGCAGATGTGCTTTCGGAACATCGATGGCTTCAATCATCACTTGAGAGTCCAATTTCCAAAGTTCGACTCAAACGTTATGTGATCAAGAAAAGATGGGTGAAAGCTGTCAATACAATTTTGGCTCTAAAGAGAATGGGAGCACACATAGACTTAAATTTAATTTAAAATTCATTTCTCGTTATAAATCTTGTAGGAAATGTAATAACAAAGCAAAAAATGAAAAAAAACGATTGATCACAATAATATATCAATAACTATATATAGATAAATCCAAAATAAAAAAAATTTGTTTCATAAATTTTCAAATATCTTAAAAAATTATTCAATTTTTATTAAATATTAAAAAAAAATTAAATTTTCAATAAAAAAAATAATCACCCACTGCCTTGTATTTTAATAGCATTTCTATATAATATTATAATTTCTATATATTCTGTCGTTTTTCACATAAGTATTATTTATGTTAGTCTAGATATTTATTTATTAATATATTCGGTTAATATGATATATATATGCTTTATATATTAATATTTTTTAGGCTGTAATTAAAAGAGGTATTTTAAAAAATAAATATTTACTGCGCGAAAAAATTATAACATTGTTTTTCTGTCCAATCGATGTTTTATTAAATTTATTATTATTATTATTATTATTATTATTATTATTATTATTATTATTACCTAATTATTTTTCTATTCTATTCCTGATGAAACAATATTATTTATTTTTAACTATATTTAAAAAAAATCACTTTAAAATCAATTATTTAATATTTAACTTTGTAATTCCCGGTCTTTTTGAAACTTTCAATGAAGTACGCAAACTTGTTTGTTAGATGTCAGTACTGTGTTCAGCTGGCTAAGAAAATATTATAATTTTCGAATTTCAAATAAATTTTTTTTTTTAATTAAATATTTATTATCAATTCATAGAGCAAGCATTTTTTAGGTAAAAAAATATTCATGAATAAATATTTTACAAATAAATGAGAAAATTGAGTTTTACTGAGGAGAATACTTTTCAACCTTGAATTATCGATTCAATTGCCGCTACAGTGCAGCCAATATAATAGAAATTAATTTTACAGTTGGTACTACTTGATTCATTGATGTAAATCAGCTGTTTTCACAAACAAGATTTTTACTATCATTCATAATTTACTTAATTCAAAAAAAAGAAGAAAAAATACATTAAAGAATTAAATTTTTTTTTCTAATTTATCATAAAAAAAATATCTACTATTAATTTATTTAAATCAACAAAAGTTTACTTTTATTTTTTATATAAAACTTCCATAGTGTATCACTAGAATGAATTAATCATGGTAAGTGAAATTTTATTGTGCGTTTTAAAATATAAATTTAAAAAATTCAATTAATTAAAATAAATATAAATTTAATTTAAATTTACATAATAATTGTATGTAATATAAAAATTATTAAGTTGTTATTTCTAACATCTGAAAGAAAAGAATTAAAATAAATTATATTATCAATTTTAAATTGGATTATTGAGGTCCTTGTTTAGGAAACTTAAATTTCAAAATGGCGGTTCTAATATGGCGGAAGATTATTTAAAAATCTATTAAAATATATAATACAATGTAATATTCATATATATTATATTATATTATATTATATTATATTATATTATATTATATTATATTATATTATATTATATTATATTATATTATATTATATTATATTATATTATATTATATTATATTATATTATATTATATTATATTATATTATATTATATTATATTATATTATATTATATTATATTATATTATATTATATTATATTATATTATATTATATTATAATTTAATATAACACAATTCATTAATATTTAAGAAACCAATAATTTCAGTATAACTAATTAGTAAAAAAAAATGACTCAATAAAAAAATTTATGCAATAATAAATTTTTTATTCAAGGCGAGAGATAAAAGTGATAAAAAAAAGAAGTGTAAGTGAAGCTCTTTAAGCTTTATAGTATTTGAAGGTAAAATGTAACCTTATTTCAAGAAAACTATTTAGGTAAAGCCTTTTATCAACGAATATTGCGCGTAATATCAAAAAGCATTAATTTTCTGCATTTTCCTCCTATTTTTAGGATGCATTAAAAGACTGGAGCCCTTATACAACGAGGGAATACGATCCATTAAAAGCTGGAAGTATAGATGGCACTGATACAGAGCCTCACGATAAAGCTATTACTCGTGCAATTGAAGCACACTATGAGCCACCTCATGGATTAAAATCAAAACCAGAGAGAACTGTTTTTGTCGCGAGATTTGGCCCTCAAATCACTAAAGACGACTTAAAGAAAGTGAGTTATACACACGCCAACGAAAATTATTGTTTGTTTTTTCATTAATTTGAAAAAAAGTATTAGATTAGAAAATATTTAAAAAAAAAAATCCAATTTTCTTTTAAATAAAAAAAAATTGTTCTTAAAACCTATTAGATACCTGGTAGTCACTAATAATTACCTACTAGTCCCTACTAGTTACTTACTACACCTTACTAGTCCCTACAAGTTACTTAATAGTCCCTACTACTTCCACCTCCCTACTAGTTACCTACTAGACCCTAGTAATTACATATAAGTCCCTACTAGATACCTACTAGGTACGTACTGGTCCCTACTAATTACCTAATAGTCCCTAGTAATTACCTACTAGGTACCTACTGGTCCCCAATAATTACCTACTAGTAACTTACTACTCCCTACTAATTACTTACAGCTCCCTACTAGTTACCACTAGGTCCCTACTACGTATCCATTAGTTACCTAGTAGGTCCCTACTATGTACCTACTAGTACCCTACTAGGTAACTGGTAGTCACTAATAATTACCTACTAGTCCCCACTAGGTACTTACTCGTCTGTACTAGGTACCTACTAGGTACTTACTGGTGTGTACTAATAACCTACTAGTAACTTATACTCTCTACTTGTTCCTACTAGGTACTTACTAGTCCCTACTAATAACCTACTAGAAATTGATACACCCTACTAGTTCCTACTAGGTACTTACTAGTTACCTAGTAGGTCTCTACTATGTACCTACTAGGTACCAAATAGGTATTTACTAATCCGTACTAGGTCCCTACTAAGTACCTACTAGGTCCCTACTAAGTACCTACTAGGTACCTACTAGTCCCTACTAGGTACCTACTAGTCCCTACTAGTCCCTACTAGTTACCTACTAGTTCCTACTAGTTAACTACTAGTCCCTACTAGTTACCTACTAGTTCCTACTAGGTACCTACTAGTCCCTACTAGTTACCTACTAGTCCCTACTAGTTACCTACTAGTTCCTACTAGGTACCTACTAGTCCCTACTAGGTACCTGCTAGTCCCTACTAGCTACCTACTAGTCCCTACTAGTTACCTACTAGTCCCTACTAGTTACCTACTAGTCCCTACTAGTTACCTACAAGTCCCTACTAGTTACCTACTAGTCCCTACTAGTTACCTACTAGTCCCTACTAGTTACCTATTAGTTCGTACTAGTTACCTACTAGTCCCTACTAGTTACCTACTAGTCCCTACTAGTTACCTACTAGTCCCTACTAGTTACCTACTAGTCCCTAATAGTTACCTACTAGTCCATACTAGTTAACTACTAGTCCCTACTAGTTAACTACTAGTCCCTACTAGTTACCTACTAGTCCCTACTAGTTACCTACTAGTCCCTACTAGTTACCTACTAGTTACCTACTAGTCCCTACTAGTTACCTACTAGTCCCTACTAGTTACCTACTAGTCCATACTAGTTAACTACTAGTCCCTACTAGTTAACTTCTAGTCTATACTAGTTAACTACTAGTCCCTACTAGGTACCTACTAGTCCCTACTAGGTACCTACTAGTCCCTACTAGTTACCTACTAGTCCCTACTAGGTACCTACTAGTCCCTACTAAGTACCTACTAGGTACTTACTATGTACTTACTAGTCCTTACTTGTCCCTACTGATTAATTAATAGTCCCTACTAGTTACTTACTTGTCCCTCTAGTTACCTACTAGTCCCTAGTAATTACTTTCTAGTCCCTACTAGTTCCTTATAGATCCTCTTAAGAACTAGGGAAGTTAAAGTTATTTTTTGTTTAGAAATTTTTTTTAATTTTAAAATTTCTTCTGCAGCTAAAAAATAGAGTTTGGATAAAAAAATTGCTTCATCCAGTACAAATGAAAAATATTCTTTATTACTGTATTTTTTTCTTCTGTTTTGTGTGCAGCATTTCGACCGTATTGTAAACGTTAAATCAGCTACAGTAATAAAAGATGTCGTTACTGGTTGCTCACAATGTTATGGTTTTGTGGAATTGGAAAATATGGACGATGCAAGAAGAGTTGTACGACGTTTACATGGTTCTTCTTTAAAGGGACATACAATTTTTGTTGACTTTGAGTTTAGTCGATCGATGCAAGGCTGGAAGCCCAGAAGGCTAGGTCAGTTCTATTCATAATGAAACGAAAGAATGAAAAAGAATGTGCATGAGAAAAAGTTTTATAAATAGATAGATATATGTATATAAGGATTTATTATTAAATGCTAAATTATTCAAAAGTTTTTCTTAGGATCAAAAAAAACAAAAAAAAACAAAATATACTCTCTAAATCTGAATTAGTGAAAAGTGAGCTATTAATTTAAATTAGTAAGAATTTTTTACTAATTTTTAGTCACTTTTTACTAAAACTTTAGTAAAAAAAAATTGAATACTACTAAATCAAAAAGTAATAGTTTACTAAAAATTAGTGAAAATTCTTAATAACGTGAATTAGTAGCTCACTTTTCACTAATTCAAATTTAGAGAGTTGTTCTTATTATATTTTGAAAATAATTGTTTTCTATTTTTTTTTTTCAAGGTGGCGGTTTTGGTGGTAAAAAAGAATCCGGTCAATTGCGATTTGGAGGAAAGGAACGACCATTTAAAAAACCAATTGTCCCAATAAATTAATGTAAATATCAATAAAAATTTTATTATTTAAATTGCAATGGATTTTTTTATTTATATTTTTAGTTTAAAAATATTCAATACTACAGGGAAAAAAATATTTATCTGAAACAGCTATTTGTTTCTCTAAAATATAGCGACAACTTTCGCTAATGTAGTTAAATATATCCTTGTTCCAGTGAAACTTATCACTATTTCAGGAGAAAATTTTTTCCCACATAATTTATAAGTTGTAAAATATAAAGAATTTATTTCCGATTTGAGGAAAATTTTTTTTGTTTTAAATTTAGAGATTTAAATCCTAATAGTTAAATTTGTTATTTCCTTGTAGCAATGAATAATTTTGTTCTAAAAAATAATTTTTTATTATTAATTGAGAGATGTATTTATTTTTGTTTAATTTTTTGAATTTTTCGACTAGTCGAAAAAGACAACAAATTGAGTTGATCTGAATTATATATATATGTGATGTTAACGAGAGTTTGTCGATTACAAAAGTCGCGATAGACGCTTTACATATGAGCGTCGCGACGCCCTCTCCCGACGCGTCGCTCCCACCATATATGGAGGCACAGCAAGTCGTGGATTGCGCGTGCTCGCTTGCTTCAGTTAAGAAAATCCTCCACAAAGATTCATCTGTTCTTAGTGGGGTTTTGAAATTTTTTGGTAATATTTTAGGACCACTCGATAATTCTCAATTCACTGTGTATATATATATAAAAAGAAACCGAAAATTTATTTTAGAATTTTTTTTCTTTCTTTTTTTTGAAATAGAGAAAAATAGTATGTATATATATATATATATATATATATATATATAGGTATATATAGGTATATAAAAGTGGATAGAGGAAAATATTTAGAAATATATTTTGCATAATTCTCATCGCAAGTCGATATGCTATTTTGAAAATTCTATTTTCACACTATACATCTTGAGAAATTTAATAGTCTGCAAACAATGTCAACAGACAATTTTCAAACACGTTAATAGTCGTTCAAGTTATAATTTAATCTCTTCAAAGTTAATATAATCATTTTCAATTGTGAAGCATAAATTTTTACTCCATTTTAAGAGAAAAAAAAATGGTTTTTTCCTCATTAGGCTACAAAATTAATTTTGAAGTGTTTTTAAATAATAATTTATAATTAATCATTTTTTTTTTATTATTATTTTATTACCCAATTAACTGAACAATTTTGTAATTAATTATTAATAACATAATAACGTAAAATTAATAATATAATATTTAATATGAAATTGTTCAAAATGTATTGAAAAAAAAAATTAGATTTTAAAAAGTAATTTTTTTTAAACATTATTTAATAATTTAAAATAAATTAATAATAATATGCAATTTTAAGGAAGAATAAATAACATTTTTTTTTATTCTTGTTACGTTGTATTTTTTTTATTGAACTGAAAATGTGTGGAATTTGGCTATGAAAATTTCCCCACGAATTTTCTGGCAAAGAAACATTAAACTGTCTAGTTTACTAAAATCACACTTCTTATTGACATGTCAAATGGTACTTAATCACCGAAATTTTGCATTACTGTACGTACGTATGTACATACACATAAAATTAGTTTTATCAAGTACAATATTTATATGTTTATTTTTAATTTCCAATGTCAAAAAAATATAATTACATAATAATTTTGAAGCTTATAAAAAAAAATTTACTTCTAAAACTAAATTGAATTATTATTAACTATTACTAATTAGTAGGAATTATTATTATTATTATTATTATTACGAATTATTTAAAAATTTGATGAATTTGATGAAAGAAATAATACTTAATTAGAATATGATTGTTGTTATTATAAATATAATTTTGATTAATTAGAAAAGTTGACTTCAATTTTGATAATGTTTGGAATATCGCAAGGAGAATATAATTTGATTCTTGAAGATGATTTTAACTTGGAAAATGATTTAAACTTTAGAGAGAGAGAGATAATTTCATATCTCTCGCATCCTAATTCGAAGTTTGTCACTTCTAAACGATCAGAGGTATATGTGTATATGTAGTAGTACTACATGCATATGCGGCAAAATTGCTTTTCCATGCTTGATATTAACTTAGATTGAGTGCTGAAATTACACACATATATATATATATATATATATCTGTTTTTTTACTATTCATATATTTATTTGGATTGAGTTCAAAAAGAAATTAACGATATTTTACTTACTGTTAATACTATTACTATTAATATTAATTACTAATTAATTATTAATTATTATTAATAATTATTTTCATTTTATAATTAAAAAAAAATTTCGTTTTAATTACTACTTATTACCTACTAGTGACTACTAGCTACAACCTACTACTTACTAATTACCTACTACCTTCTACATATTATTTACCTACTACTTACTACTTACAACCTACTAGTTACTATTTACCTACTACCTTCTACTTATTATTTACTTACTACTTACTAGTTACAACCTACTATTTACTATATACCTACTAGTTACAACCTACTAGTAACTTTTTACCTACTACTTACTAGTAACAACCTACTAGTTACTATTTACTTACTACCTTCTACTTATTATTTACTTACTACTTACTAGTTACAACCTACTATTTACTATATACCTACTAGTTACAACCTACTATTTACTATATACCTACTAGTTACAACCTACTAGTAACTTTTTACCTACTACTTACTAGTAACAACCTACTAGTTACTATTTACTTACTACCTTCTACTTATTATTTACTTACTACTTACTAGTTACAACCTACTATTTACTATATACCTACTAGTTACAACCTACTAGTAACTATTTACCTACTACTTACTAGTTACAACCTACTAGTTACTATTTACTTACTACCTTCTACTTATTATTTACTTACTACTTACTAGTTACAACCTACTACTTACTAATTACCTACTACCTTCTACATATTATTTACCTACTACTTACTACTTACAACCTACTAGTTACTATTTACCTACTACGTTCAACTTATTATTTACTTACTACTTACTAGTTACAACCTACTATTTACTATATACCTACTAGTTACAACCTACTAGTAACTTTTTACCTACTACTTACTAGTTACAACCTACTAGTTACTATTTACTTACTACCTTCTACTTATTATTTACTTACTACTTACTAGTTACAACCTACTAGTTACTATTTACCTACTACCTTCTACTTATTATTTACCTACTACCTACTAGTTACAACTTACTAGTTAGTATATACATAATAGTTTCAACCTACCAGTTACTATATACCTACTAACTACTAGTTACTATTTACCTACTACATACTAGTTAGAACCTTATAGTTACTATATACCTACTACCTTCTACGTACTATTTACCTACTACCTACTAGTTAAAACCTACTAGTTATTACATACCTACTCGTTACTATTTACCTACTGCCTACTAGTTACTACCTATTAGTTACTATATACCTACTAGTTACAACCTACTGGTTACTATATACCTACTACCTACTAGTTACTATTTACCTACTACCTTCTACTTACTATTTACCTAGTTCCTACTAGTTACGATATACCTACTAGTTACTACTAGTTACTATATACCTACTAGTTACTACTAGTTACTATATATTTACTAGTTACAACCTACGAGTAACTTTTCACCTACTATTTACTAGTTACTTGAAAGATTAAGACTTGAAAAATTAAAAATTTCGGAACCTTGAGTTGAAAATTGAAAAAAAAATTCGAGTCAAGAAAATCACGTCTTCGAAAGCCTTCAAAAAGAAAATAAATGGGAGTTTCGAAGCAATATGCGCGAGGAGGTAAACGCCTACGCAATATTTCTGGAGAAGCGATGATCATCTAATTAGGCCGTAGATGATGCGCACGAGATGAATTTTTGGTCCCTCTATATATTCTGGAGTAAAATTTCAGATCTTAATACACGAAATTTTTATATAAATATAGTTTTCGTAACTTATGTATATATATATATGTGATGTGAGGGAAATGTATAAGAAGAAGTAGATTTTCTATATACTCAACACTGAAAAAAAAAAAAATAAAATAAAACGAATATACAACTTTGCTTGCGACCTGACAAAAATAGTAGCGCCAGCATGAATTTAAAACACACACAAATACGCTTGCGCTCTGGCTATTGAAGAAATATATATCTTAGAGGTTTCTCGGGGAGTGTCCAAAAAACCCATTGTCTATTAATAGGATACCGAACACCACGAAAAGGAATGATGATGATGATGATGATGATGAGGTGGATGGTGGAGTGTGTAGTAGGTGGTGAGAATGATATCCAAGTCTTGGTTTTGCCCAGGGCGAAGAGGTCGTACTTCAGAGCCGCTCTAGCTGTCGCGCGGACTCCACATTCCACCAAGAGAATCCTCTTGTGTTTTTTTAGTGACTGAAGAAACAACTCTTCACTCGGCTAAGGCCCGAGATACATTCAATTTTTTAGATTCTCTTTCTCAACCCTTATCCAAATAAAAAAAAAAAGAAAAAACCACCAAAAAAAAGTGTAAGTGTAAAAAATTAAAATTTTGAAGTGAGTGATTCGATTCGATCTCCGTTTATAAATATTTAAATATATATAGTGGAATTTTCAACAAGTGATTGCGTTTGTGGAATTAGTGCAATGATGTGATCTCTTCATTGGGTGATCGGAATTTTTTTTTTTTAACTATACAGAATGAAAAGAACTTCGATTTTGGTTTATTTATTTTTTGGGGAAATTGGTTTTAATTTTAGATTTTAGATAGGGTTTTTGAGAGGAATATGAAAACAGATTAGAGGAAGAAAAATTATTGTTTTAGGTTCAAAATTAGGTGATTTGGAAAAGAATTCGGATTTAGCATCCAAAAATTGGATTGTTTTGGAGAAAAAGAAGAATTAAGGAATGTCTAGATGTGTAGGAACCAAAATTTTTGGAAATCGTATACAAATTTTTGTTTGTATTAACATTATTTTTGGTGGAACAAACTGATTTTTGAATGTACTATTCCAAATTTTGGGTAGTAGGAATAATTTCTGAATATATGTTTGTGCAATTTTGAATAAATAAATTTTTTTAATGTTCTGACCAACGTTTTGGGTTGTGACAAACAAATTCTTGATTTTTACAACCAAAATTTTGGATATGGCAAGAAGAAAATTTTAAATGCAACAAACAAATTCTTGTGGGATAAAAAAATCAGAACATAGTAACTAAATTTTTGGACATAAGGAACAGGATTTTGAATATAAGAACCAAATTTTTGAAATGTGGAATCAAATTTTTGATCGTTAGAACCCAATTTTTGAACGTTGGCACATTTTTGAATATTAGAACCAAATTTTTGAATAGTAGAATCAAATTTTCGAATGTTAGAACCAAATTTTTGAATATAAGAACCAAATTTTGAATTGTATAATCAAAGTTTGGAAGGTTACAACCCAATTTTTGTATCTTAGCACACTTCCGAATATTAGAACCAAATTTTTGAACGCTAGAAACAAATTTTTTGTATATATGCCAACCAGATTTTTAGGTACTCTACAATTTTTCCACTGTATTAACCAACATTTTTGGATAGTACAAAGAAATTTTGAAATTCAAAATTTGAAACACATTTTTTAAAGTTCAAACATCCATTTTGTTCCGATGACGTTTTCTCAACGAAGATTATTTGAGTCATCATCTGTCAAGGACGACATTCCTTACAAATCTGCTTCACCTATCTTAAAATTTAATCTCTTCGTGTTACGTTTAAATTCCATTTTTAATTTTTTCATTTTAATTTTATAATAGCAATCAATTTTTAACGATGCGTTTAAAATGGATTTTCTCCAAAAATAGATTTTCCCTTGTATTTTCAAAAATTTCTGTTACCAAATTAAGAAAAAAAAATTGTATTCTTGGAATTGTATTTTTAGAACATTCGCTGAGATTCACTACGGTTTTAAATCAACAAAAAAAATTACATCGGTCTTTAGAAATAGAATTTGGGTTTTTCTTCCCGGAAATTATCAAATCTTTAGAAATTAAAAATTACTACTTTTAATTATTAATAATTTTTGAAAATTGATATAATCAAAAAATAGGATAGAATTATTTTTTTTCTTCAACAGTTTTTGTTGAGTAATTATAATTGCTTAATGATGCTCTAACAGATTTTGGGTATTCGTCTATTTTATCAGTTATCTAAAAACGAATTTTAGAGGCTATTGGGAAAACATTTTTTCGTTGATTCTTCGTCAATAGTTTTCTTTAGTGTCTTTTTTAAATTTTTTGTCTCTTTACATGTCACCGAAAATTTTATTTTCAGTTCACCGTCTTTTTTAGGGTTTGTTCATTGCCTTTTTTATAGGGTTTGTTCGTAGTCTTTTTTAGAGCGTCTGTACATCAGGTACAATTTTTGGAGATTTATTAATTCTTTTTGGTACTCCATTAATGGATGTTCCTTTTCAGAAGTTGATAATTGTCTCAATATTCTCTGTACAATATCTATTCATACAATAATTCAAATTTTATTGAATGATTTTTTAAACATCCATTTAATTGTTTCGTTATTTTCTGATTAGATGATATCCAAATGTTTTTCCGTCAAAATTTTTTTCAAACGATTTATAAATAAATATTTTTCTAAATATTCTTTACTAAAAATTTTATGGTACATCAGTACTGCCAATACTGGCACAGTACTACCCCAGTAGTAGTAGAATACAATAATTGTAAATTTTCAACTGGATTTTGATAATTTTAGTTCGTAGAAATAGTTTAAAATTTCCACAAATTGTACCTTTTAGATTAAATTTTCCAAAATCCATTACGGAAAAATAAATATTAGACAAAAAAAAATGGCCACTATTTTTTCGTAGTTTTTTCAAAATCTTTTCTCCTAATTCTTAATGTGAATAGAATTTAATTATAAAAAAATACAACTGCTGCTCTTTTTTTCTTTTTTTTTTTGCTCTTCTCCAAGGTACTTTTCTTTTAATGCCGGAAGGGAATTGTAAATCCGATTAGTCTTCAGGGACACGGAGAAAAGTGGTTCCCTTATTCTCCAGCTTGATTTTGTATTCCTTCTTCTTCTTCTTCCTCTTTTTTTTTCTTCTTGCTCCTTTTTTTTTGATAATTTTCATTTTTAGCTGTGAGACTTTATAAGACTCAGGGTCGGAACTCATGGTATAGTAAAAATCAAGAGACGAAAAGCAGTACGAGAGAAGTGTGGTCGGGTCTAAAATTAGTGATATGAAAGCGCAACAATGTATCTATGTGTGTGTGTGTGTGAGAGAGAGAAGGGGTCGGCTCCTTATAGAGCTTGCCTCGCATCGAAAGCTTTGGCCCAGGGTTAGCAAACTAATTCTCAGCTCGGATATCAAATTACCTTTTGGTATTTCTTTTTCTACATTTCGTCGACTGGATCCACTTTTCGATAATTTCATATGCATATTTTATTATTTTATTTATTATTTCAAAATATTTTCAAAATTCGGCTAATTATTTTAATATTGATCGTTAAATTCAATTTGGAATTTTATTTAAAAATTCTCAGCATACATAACCTCAAATTATTTATATATTATTATTATAACGAATAATTAAAATTAAATTTCATATTGTAAGTTCAGTTTTTTGAGAAATAAACCCCTTTTTCTATTTCTATTTTAGGTTATGTTTGATGAGAAATAATTCAATTCGCGATGGCAGACCGTTTTTTTCGTTGAAAGTGCGCATGCGTCAGAATTTTATTCCATAAGAGCAAAGGAAATAGATGACGTAGCCTCTCTCTTTTCCTCTTGTAAGAACGAAATATAAGTGGATCATGCGCAGAATGAATTCTTAGAAAGAATGTTTTCAAAAATTGGTATTTTCCTACATAACCTAAAAATACAAATTGTATTTACAGGGAAGATTTTTTCGATTTTTTGAGGTTATGTCAGTTGATAAAATATTCGAATATTAAGGTTAGAAATTTAGAATAAAAAAAACAATATTGGTAGCATTGTTTTTATTTTTGGCAAAAAATTTTATTTTATTTTCGAGGTTATGTTTTGTTGATGAAAAAGAATTTATAATAAAAAAAAAAATCAAATAAATTATTTTGAGAACGAATCGAATATTTTGGAGAAAATGATAAAATTTCTTATTTTTCCCGGCAAATTTGATAAAAAAAACTGAAATTTTCAAAAATTATAAAATTTAAAAAAAAATAATTCTCTCTTTTTTTTCTTTTTAGAACCCTAACTACCTACAAACATGTCTGACGACGAGGAACAATACTCGTGAGTATTAAAAAAAAAAAGAAAAAATTAAAATAATTTCAAGAAATTTCTAATTAAGAGAGGTTTTCAACCCTTGACTGTTGGAAAGTAGTGTAAGTCGAGCCAGAAAATCTATTTTAAATGTTCGAGAAAAGAATTACAACAGAGCTAAGTTTTAAAATCTATTAATAGCGCAGGAGACGAGATTTTCAATTCTAATTTTGATATATATATATCCATTAAGAATAATGTTTCTTTGAATCAGAGAAGTATTTTCTTTGATATAGAGGGGTTTTTTTTAATTTAAAGAAAATTTATTTGATTTAAAAAAAATTTTTGTTTAATTTAAAAAAACAATTTTTGAAATTTTAAACAAAGTTTTATTTAGAGTAAAACATATTTTTTTTTTGATTAAAGAAAACATTTTTTTAATTCAGGGAAAAAATTTTTTTGATTCAAAGAAATAATTCTTTTGATTCAAAGAAATATTTTTTTTTGATTCAAAGAAATAATTTTCTACCACTTTTTTTTTGGCGTTTTTTCCGCCTTTCGTTTGAAACGAAATTTATATTATTAATTAACTGAAAAAATGTGAAATTTCATTAAATAGTTGATGATTTTTGAATTTTGGCAAATGTCCATCTATTACCGTAATTGTGATTTATTTTCCAAGGGCAGAAATGGAATTTTGCCAATTGTCAGAATTATCTCAGAATGTTATTTAAAAGCAAGGCTTACCACTTTCCAACAGAATTTTTTTTTTTTTTATTCTTTTGTAAATTTATTACGAAATTTTTTTCTAGTAATTTTTTCTTTATAGAAAAATTAATTTTTTTTTTAGTGAATTTGTAAATTTTTTAATTATATTTAAGGAATATTTTTTAATCTAGTTATTTTTTTGGGGGGAAATTTGTAAAGTTTTTAGTTATTTTAATGGGATTTTTAATTAATTTTTTTTTAATCTAGTTATTTTTTTTTAGAAAAAATTTGTTTTCCTAGGGAAATGTGTAATTTTTATTTATATTAATAGGATAATTTTTGATCTAGTTATTTTTTTTTGGGAAATTTGTTATACTAGGGAAATTGAAGGTTTTTTTTTTATTCTTTTTTAAAAATTTATTTCTCTAGTAAGTTCTAGTTATCTTTATAGAAAAATTAGTTTTTCTAGTAAATTTCTAGGGAAATTAGATTTTTTCTATAATTTTTATAGGGAATTTTTGTTTCTGAACTATTTTTCTAGGAATATTTTTTTTTCTACTATTTTTTAAAGTAAAAATATTTCTTCTATTATTTTTATTCATTTATTTATTTTATTTTAAATTTCCATTAGAAGCTTTTTACTAATAAAAATCATATATAATAGAAAAATATGTATTTCATTTTCGCTGGGAGTATTTTTTTTCTAAATTGATATTTTAACGATAAAATTCTTTGTTTTATGTTTCAATAAGAATAAAAAAAAAAAAAATTCATTTTTCAAAGTCCATTTAGTGAGAGGAATATTTAGAATCAAATTTCCAGGTGGTTATTAAAAAAAAAAAAAAAAGAAAAAAAAAATTATTTTCTGCTCTTCTTTTCGTCAGGATTCAAATAACTCGAGATATTATATTCTCTAAACTGAAAGGTATTGAAAATCCTAAAAAAAAATATGTTCCACTTTTTTTTTTGTTTGCATCGTGTTTTTTTTTTATTGTTAAACTTAATTGTTAAAGAATGAATTCGAATTTTTCATTGATTAATTATTTGTTTTATTTCCATTTTATTTGTTACTTGTTTCAATTTAATTGTCAATGTGAAATAAAATTTTTTTTTTACAAATTTTCCATGTTTGTGAATTTAAAAAAAAAAAAATTTTTTTCTGTTTATCCCTATTTGTTTATTAATTTAAAAATCCTCCAATATGTTGATTAAAATTTAATTAAAATTTAATATAAATAAATTTTTTGTGTTCTTCCATAAAAAATTTTTTTTTTTTATTGTTTTTGTGAAATTTTTCATTATCCTGGAAAGAATTTATCCTTATTTTCTTTTTTTGAGCCCAGTTGATTTTTTTTTAAACATTGTAAAATTTAAAAATAGAAAAAATTGTTTACCTTAGGCATGTTTAAGAAATGACTAACACTTGTTATGTTCCTTTTTGTTTACAGCAGCGAGGAGGAGGTTGAGGAAGTGTAAGTGTCTCCTAAAATTAACTTTTTATTTTTTTACTCCACTATTTTTAACTAGAAAATGTTTAAACAAAAAAAAATTTATTTCGAAAAAAATTTATGAAATAAAAATAGAAAAAAATTAATTTAAAAAAAAAATTCTCAAATAAAAATATAAAAAATAATTTAAAAAATTTTTATGAAATTCTGAAATAAAAATATAAAAAATAATTTATTAAAAAAACTAAATAAATATAAAAATTATTTTAAAACATTTTTCTAATTAAATTTGGAGTAAAATTTAGTATCTACCATTTTTTTCTGTGTCTAACAATATTTCCAAATTGTTTTTGTGATTGCAGGAAGTAAGTTCCAGACACATCCACTAAAAATTAAAGGCAACCGGCCAACAATAATTATTTTCGAGGATTGTTCTCTTTTTTCTATATATTTTACTAAAAATTTAATAGAGTAGCGTGTTTACCTTCAATCGGGGTTTTAAAATTTAGAAAAAAAAAAGAAAATTATTTTTCCATCTCCTGCAAAAAAAAAAAAAAAAAAAATTTAATAAAAAAAATTCAAATTAAAAAAATTAAAAACAAAATTAAATTAAAATAGAAATATTTCATGTTTTGTAAATAAAAAAAAAAATTTATTTTGTAAATCTTTAATTTTTTTCCATTAAAAAAAAAACAAATTGAAATGTAAAAAGCTCTTTGTGAATATAATATTACAGGAGATGGAAAAATCAATCCTTGGCCGAAGTGTATTGAACTGCGTGCGTTGCAACCCCATGTCGCGATATCATCGGTAGCGCTCAGTAATTTTTTTTTTTTTTTTTTTTAATATACCCACGTTAAAATTCTTTAAAAAAAATGTTTTCTTTCAAATTAAAATTAAAAAATTAAAATATTAAAATTAAATTTTTTAAATTAAAATTTTTCTCAATATATAATTGAATATTTTTCCGGTTAAAAATTTATAAAAGAAAAAGATTAAATTAAAAAAAAAAAACAGTAAATTTATTTTATTTCAAAATTATTTACATTAAAAAAAAAATTTATATTCATCCAAAACAAAAAAAAATTAAATAATACATTTTCAAATAAAATGAAATTTCAATTTTTACAGAATTTTAACGAAGGTAAAAATTAATTTTTACAAAAAATTTTGTTCTTAAAAATTTCAATTTTATTTTTTTTTTTGAAAAGTAGAATTAAATTTTTTTTTTAGATTTATTTTCAAAAATAAAATTATGTAATAATATCGGATGAGCGCACACGGTCCACGATCCGAGAAGTATAATCTGCAAACGAAATGCCGGCCGGTTTAAAATTAGAGCGCGTATTTTCCTTAACAAAAATAGAGCGGCCGGATGGCGCTGTGCTTTATATCTACACCGGGACACAAATTTAGTAACACACGCAAGTTGCGAGGACAGTATTAAAAAAAAAAAAGAGAGAAAAAATTAAAAATAAAAAAAAAAAAAAAAAACAATCACAGATACAAGTCAATCTTTTGATGAGTGCATATAGGGACGTTTTACATGTATCGTATTTTTGTCCTCGGGCAAAAAAAAAAAAAAAAAAAAAAAAAATAATTTTCAATCATTTCAAAATACCTCGCCGCACTATATAAACGAATCTCGGGCCGTGCATTCCTCTATTTTTGTCATTAAAAACTGGAACAAAGTTTTTTTTTAACCACACAGTAACATAAATAATTTACAAACGTACTTGATTTTTTTTCGGGTTAATTAAATAATTGATGAAAATATTATAAAATTAAATACGATTTTTTTTTTATTAAAAAATTGTAATTCGTAAAAATTTAGTAATTTTATTAATAAATTAAATTAGAAATTAATTAATTACATTACAAATAATTAATTAATTAACTAATTATTTAATTTAGTTACAACCAAATTAGTTAATAAATAATTAATAAAATTATAAATTAATTAATAAAATTAGAAATTAATTAAATAAATTACAATTGTTCTTATAAAATTTATTAATAATTAATTAATAAATAAATTATAAATAATTAATTTAGTTAAAAAAATTAGTTATTAAATAATTAATAAAGTTAGAAATTAAAATTAAATAAATTTGAAATAATTTTCAAAGTTACAAAAGTAATTAATTTATAAATTATAAATAATTATTCAAGTTACAAAATTAATTTATAAATAATAAATAAATTCTTTATTAATATATTCAATTACAAATTAATTAATAAATAATTAATAAAATTATAAATTAATTTAATAAATTATAAACAATTATCGAAGTTACAAAATTAATTTATAATTAAAAAATAATTAATAGCTAATAAATAATTAATAATTAATTAATAATTAATAAATAAATTATAAATAATTATTCAAGTTTCAAAATTAATTTATAAATAATAAATAAATATTCATTAATATATTCAATTACAAATTAATTAATAAATAATTAATAAAATTATAAATTAATTTAATAAATTATAAACAATTATCGAAGTTACAAAATTAATTTATAATTAATAAATAAATAATAACTAATAAAGATATATATAACTAATAAATAATTAATAATTAATTAATAATTAATAAATAAATTATAAATAATTATTGAAAATACAAAATTAAATACTATTTAATTAATAAAATAACATGTTAATAAATTAAATTAAAAATGAACAAAAATAGTTATGCGATAAAATAATTTCTCCAATAATTTGAAATATTTAATAATATTAAATTTTTTTAATTGAATTACATTTTTAAAAAACCCTTTAGAAATTCAATGATGAATAAAATTTAAATTTTATTGCAATGGAATTTATTAAATTTATTGGTTATTAATAAACGTTGGTATTTGAATTTAATTGATTCAGTATGGAATATGAGAGTTTGATAATAATTATTGTTTTTTTTTTTAATCTCTTTTAATTTATCATTATCATTATTATTATTATTGTATACATATTTCGCAAATTCCAAATTTCAATTTCGGGATTATAATCTTGTGCATTGAAATGGAGAAAGCCGAGTTGTGTAAATTAATACGTCAGTAGTCATTGGGTAACCGCATCCCTCAACACAATGAAGTGAATTTCCCTTCAGCTTATCACAAAATACATTTTCCTTTGAAATTTTCATTTAACAATTTTGATATTATATACATATCTAAATTTATTATATTATTTGAAAATTTATTGATTGTATCATTATTTGTTTTATCATTTGTTCAACTATTGAATGACAAACTGATATTTAATATCGAATTAATTAAATTAACTATTTTTCTATTTCAATTAATTATTTTTTTAAATTATATATTTGTAATGATAATTTATTAAAATTAATTTGAATTTAAAAATTAATAATTTAAAACACAAAATTAATAATTACTAAAAAGAATATAAAGAAAAAGATAAAAGAAAAAGAAATTAGTTAATTATTTTTATTTATTTTATTATTAATTATTTGTAATTAATTAATTATTAATTAATTTTTTACTATTATAATTCATTTAATTGATGATTGAAGTTGCAATAAATGTCTCTAACCTCAAAATTGTAAATCGACCCCAATGGGATTCCCCGCTTTTCCTATTGGCTGACGTTCAAGGTCACGAAATGATATCCAATCAAATTTGACGTAATCTAAGCGGTTCTCATCTTAGAAAAATAAATTCGAACCTTTATGTTGCATTTTTTAATATAAAAACAAAAATTAATAAACAATTACTTAAAAAAAAGATTAAAAATTAAAAAAAAATAATTTTTACATTAAAAAAACTTGAAAATAATTTAAAATAAAAATTATTAATTTAAATAATCGATTAAAACATACAAAAATTAATAATAAAATTCTTTTTTTATTTTTCTTTTATTTCTTAATAAATATCAGATTTCAATTTTAATTGAAAAAAAAAATCGGGAAGTAAATAAAAAAAAAAAAATACATCAAACGATATTTAAAAAAAAAAGTGAAGGAAAAATAAATATTATTCCACAAAGCACAGCGTTTTTCGTTCAGCTCTATATAATCTACTTTCATATAAATTTCGTCATTTTTTTTTTTTTTGTTCAACGATATTGTTTTTCAAAATTGAATTTTGTAATTATTTTCAAATTTTTATTTCCCTTATTAAGTAAAAAAAAAAATGTCGTTTTGTTCGTTCTCTCTATTTCCCCCACCCCCCTACTATCACTATTCAAAAACCACCCCTTTTCACCCCACCCTCGCCCCCCCCACGAAACCCCCTTTTTTTATTAAATGTAATATGATAAAAAAAAGCCAATAACTGACTCTGGTTTTTATCTCTTTTTTCTCTCTCTCTCTCTCTTCATCACAAACTTCAACACACTCAAAAAACAAAAATACCAAAAAAAAAACCAAATAAAAAAAATCATCAATCAACCAATCGACGCACGCGACGCGATCATTTCCCGATATGACAAAAAAGGCAGCCGGAGAAGAAGTTCGAGTAAGTTCCATTAAGTAAAACTCAAAAAAAAAAAATAAATAATTTTTTTTTTTGCCTATTTTTGCCTTTATTTGTTTGTCTATTGTCCATATTATTGTCGGTCAGTTTGTCCGTCCGCTCATTAATAAGAAAAAAAAATTAATTAAATTTCTCTGTCGCAGACTTTTGTACAAAATGATTCCATTTTTTTTTGTTGATAATAATTTTTTATCTCCAATTTATTATTTTGGTGTAGAAAGTAGTTTTTGATATTTTTAGGTTAGGAAGATTGCGCGCGCATCTGGGAAATAGTGGGGGTAATGTGCTCTGATTGGTCGTTGCTCGTTACTTTCAAGAATTCTTGACGCGCAGTGTTCTCAACTTAAAAATACTAAAAAAAATTAATTAAAATTGAAAAAAAAAATTTTTAAAAAGGAAAATTTTTAAAAAATTGTTTCAAATATGATTCTAAAAATTTTATTTGCAATTTCTTTTTGTTACATAAATTGAAAATAATAATAATTTTCTTTTGTATTAAATAACATATATATTTATTTATTAGCTTAAATAATATTTGACTTTATTATATCTCATTATTGTTAAATAATCATTTATTCGCTATAATTAATTTAATAGAATTTAATATTGTAAAATTAAAACAATATAACTTATTTTTGGAAGGGTTTCATTTGTATAATAATAATTAACAATGTTTATTTAAATTATGAAAATAAATTGAAGTTAATTTTGCATAAATGTAAAATTGTGAACAACATTGATTTATTGATGAAACGTTGGAAATAAAATATTATTATCAAAATGGGTCAATCTTTGTGATTGTCGCTGTTGCCGATATGTTCAGTTGCCATAATAATAATAATAATTATTTTGTTATAAAATTTTTTTTTTTATACAATCATTACAGTTAAATATTTTTATATTTTCCTTTTTTTTTTGTTTAGAAATTTTTGCAATATTTACATTATTTTTTTAATTGCATTTTCTATTTTATTTGGCAATACAATATTATAATTATAAATAAATAAATGTTTATTGAAAAAAATTTATTAATTTTGAATTATGGCGCTAGAATTGGTTGAATTCGAAGTTGCGTGCGCAGCTTGCGGAGAGTGGGGGAAATGGTTAATGATTCGATCTCGGGAGTTACCCCCACTTTTGCGTACGCTGCGCAGCGCAGTGTTTTCAACGTAAACATTCAAAAACGACCATTATTCTAAGAGCTTTTTTATTATATTTTTTAGTATTTATTATTACTATTTTTATTATTATTAATTTTATTGTTATTTTTTTTAATATTATTTTTATTATTGTTATTATTATTATTATTACATAAAATAGTTTAAATTAAAATATTTTTAAAACCACATAATAATTGTTTATTCAACTGTAATCTCCATTCAAAAAAAGAACGAATCTTTACAAAAAGTAGAATTAAAAAAAACAAAAGCTTGACACTAAAGAAATGATACAATTAAAAAAAATATAAATATTGCAAAAAAAGCCAAGTATATATATATATATTTACAGACGAAAGCACTTTTGCATTATTAGCGCCAGGCGAGCTTTTCACGTGATTTTCCGTACGATTAATTGCTGTAATAATAATAATAATTTATCATTAATCGACCCACCGACTCTCTCGCCTATTAAAGACACTCGCTCTTATCCCATGTATTATAAATCCTTTTTTTGTTAACATATCCTCATCATCTTTTTTTTGTTTTTTTTTATTATTATTTTTTTTATTGACACTAAAGTGAAAACAATATTTTTCACTTAAAAAAAAAATTTTTTTTTTAAATAATTTTTTTTTCATCATTCCCCAAAAAGGAATTTTTATCATTCCATCAAATTTTCCTATATCAATATCAAATTTCTCTTGTTCAAAGATTGTATGTTTTTCCTTTTTTTTTTTGTTTTTAATTAAAATGTCGCTGTTGTGTCGATGGTGAAAAAAAAATTCTCACGTTTCTTTCCACCCGTACCCCTTCCCCAAACCCCACCCCTCAACCCACTCTCACTATTCCAACAATAATAAAAAATCGTCGTGTAAATAAAAAAAAAATATTTTTTTTTTCCGAAATCCTATATCTTTATTACATATACACTTAATCAACGCACGAGGCACATGCATTTCTCTTTTTTTTTGTTTTGTATGTAAATATTTTGTTTCTACTGAAAATTTTTAGGTGGGAAAATAAAGGTTCCTAATTTCTTAATTATGAAAGAGGAATTTTTTTTTGGAGTAAATTTTACAATTTTGATTCTTTAATTATTTTTTAAAATTGTTTTTTTTAAAAATGTATTTCTACATTTTTGGGAACGAATATTTTTATTATAGGTTATGTTTATGATTAGGAAACGTTATCTAGAGAGTTTGCTAGTTTGCAATGACTCTGGTTAGTTTCCATTGTCCCATTTGTCATAATTCTTGTTAACTACCGCACTCTGCTCTAGTAACAAAGTGACTTTATAGTTAAAATTAAAAGTTACTATAAAGTCACTAAATTTTCACTAAAACAGGGTTGACGAGAATTATGACAATAAGTTTTGTGAGTAGAAAAATAGTAGCCGAATTTAGATTATTATTAAGCAGTTAAGCTCATTATTATTCATCTTTAATATAAAACAAACCATTTTTTCTTCACTGCGACAACTTTTTTTATCTCCTTTCAAAATTGAAGTTATTATTCATCGTTAATATAAAACAAACCTTTTTCTTCTTTCTTCACTGCGATAACTTTTTTTATCTCCTTTCAAAATTTAAGTTATTATTCATCATTAATATAAAACAAACCTTTTTCTTCTTTCTTCACTGCGATAAATTTTTTTATCTCCTTTTAAAATTGAAGTTATTATTCATCATTAATATAAAACAAACCTTTTCTTCCTTCTTCACTGCGATAACTTAGTTTATCTCCTTTCAAAATTGAAATGCACCATGTCAGGATTATCTGGAAAAAATAAAAAAATAATTACTAATTTAAAATGAAAAAATATTTAAAAAATATTGAGAAAAATAATAATAAAGTATGTAAAAAAATAATAGTAAAATCAAGTAGGAACCTCGTATGAACCGCCTTTAAACTTTTAGTAAGAAACACTGTAAAAAAATGGTAAACATTTTGTCAACACGCAAACGCACTGCCGCAAGCATTTTTTCTTTTTTTTAATTTTCTTTTAACATTTTTTTTTTTTTTTTTTGAAAAAACAACGATCTCCTCTGTTTTTAATTCCACTTTTCTCGTTGTGCAAACGCTCTTTCTCTTTCTACTCTCTCTTTTTTTTTTGTCGCAACTCTTTATTTTTCTCTAATTTTTCTTTCTTTTTTTGTTCTCTGTTGCCAAAGCTCGGTTTTATGAAAATTCAATATTGCTGCCAAAAAAAGCAAAATGCCACTAAAATTTTGTCTATAATTACTTTTTTTTTAATTTGCTATATATATAATAGTGAAAAAGAAAAAAATTTATTTTTTTTTCTCTTTCACATATATATCAAAGCAGTTTGCCAATTGATAAAAATTTGTCTCCGTCATCAACAGGAGGGAATTATAAAATATTCATTTCTAGTCGATATTACATGAACATATTTGTCCAGTCATGAATATTGATAAGCCATTGGCAGGCTGTGACCTCGTTATAAATTTTTCTTTAACGCATAAAGCGCCGCTGGTTATATAATAATAAAACAATATAATTAAAGCACTAAATTGCCAAAAAAAAAACGAAAATTGCAGAAAAAATAAATGACGGGAGTAAATGCTTTTTTTTAAAAATAGAAAATGGCAAAAAAAAAGAAACGTACCTGGAAAAATTTAGAAAACATTTTTTTTCTTATTTTTTAAAAAATAATAAAAAATTAAATTTTTATTGTAATTTTGTTTTTTAATTAAATTAAAAATATTTATTTAGTCAAAAAATATTAATAATTTTTTTTTATTTTAAAAATAAAATTATTTAAATAAAAAAAAAATTGTTTTCTAGGTACGTGAAAAAAAAATTGCTTCACGAAAGGATTAAAAATGTTGAGAAATTTTTTTTTTTTTATTTTGTCTAAATTAAAAAAAAAATTTTTTTTTTTTGAAAGCAAAAATATAAAGCTTTGCGCAGTTCTTCGAAAAATGCGAGCGATCTTCTTATCGAATTTTCACTGTATTAACCGTTCTGTACTTTCTTTTTTTGTAGGGGTAGAACATCCCAAAAGTAAGTTGACTCTCTCGAGGTGTTGTTACACGTCAATAACACTTCTTGTTCACTGGCCACTCACCCCCACCCCTGCCAATTCTGATACCCCTCAAATTTAAGGAAGTAGATACGCCTTTACACTTTTCCAAAAAAAAAAACTCACTTTCCCCCACCATAAACATTACAAAAAAAAATTTTCAAATTATTTTCAAAATTAAAAATTTTGAAAAAGTTTTTTTTTAAAATTAATTAATAATAAAATTATTTTTATTTAATAATTTATTTATTATTTTCTAAATGAAAATTATCTGATATTTTGTTTAACCTGTTATTTTGTTAAATATTGTGTCCCTCTTGTTTTTTGGTTTAAAAAAAAAAATAGTTCCCTACATGTAATTTGTAAAATAATATCAATGTGATAATATTAATAATTTAAGGTATATCTACAACCTTGATTAATTGTCCAATTTTATAAAACAAAAATGACTCCCCCTAGCCCTTTCCTCGAAATGTCACTTACAAGCAACAATGGTTCAGAATTTTTGTTTATTAATAATTATTAACGAATGAAGATTTTGTACGTGTTGATATTATAAAAAAAAATATATATATATAAACGTGAGAGTTCCGTTCAAATTATCGTTATTCACGTGATTGTCCCAAGTGTTGTTACAAAAAAAAAAAATAATAATTACATGTCAAATTGTTTCTAATATTTTTTTTTAATTTAATTTTTTTTAATTATTGTAATCCTTTTTTTTTTGTTTTATGTTACTTTGTCTCCTTTTATGTCTGTAACTATTCATATTTATTATTTTTGAATTATTATTTTAATATTTATTTTTAATTTATATTTTCAATTTAATTATTTGCAAATTTAATTATTTTCATTTTTTTTTAAATATTTAATTATTTTCATTTTTATTTATTTAAACGCCCGAATTCAATAACTGATTTTCTGATCGAATTCCTATAAGAGTCGAAACTTGTCCAAATGGGATTCCCCCTTATTTCATTGGCTACTACTCAAGGTCACGGAACGACAGCCAATCGTCGTCCTTTGACCTTGAAGAAGAACCAATGAAATGAATGGGAGCCTAAGTGGGAGTTTTTGACTCTTATATTGACTTCGAGCATAAAGACAGTTACTGCATCCGGACTAGTAATTATTATTATTATTATTATTATTATTATTATTATTATTATTATTATTATTATTATTATTATTATTAATGGATTAATTAAATTTTTTTTATTGTTTGTTTCCTTTCCAAAGTTTTCATTTTCGATTAGTCCAAATATTTTCCAAGTAATTAATACTAAAGACAATTAAAAAAAAAGGGTATTTTTCGAGACAAAATGGCCCTTTTTTTCATCTCGATCCTGATTTGTCTTGAGTGCAAGATCTGTATGCATTTGAATCTGAAGAAAATAAAAAAAGTTTTTTTTAGAAAAAAAAAATTTATTGCTTTTAAACAAAATTTAAGAAAAATTGGAAACGAAAATTAATTAATAATAATTACAAATTCTTCATTAAAAAGAAAAGACAAAATTTTTTTTATGAATTTTGTAATAAAAAAATTCAAGAGAAAATTTGTTTTGAAAGCAATATATATTTTTTTTTTGTTGACAAAAAAACATTATTCTTTTCTAATACCTTGTGTCATCCCCATATAAAGGGAAACCATTTTAAAAAAAAATGGAAAAGGTCATCGTAAAAATTATCTTTTTCCTATATAATTATTATAATGCATTATTTTTTTTTTCTTGTAAGAAGAAAATATAATGTAATAATTTTAATAATTTAATTATTAAATAATCTATATATATTAATTAATAATTTATATTAATTAATTAATTTCATATTCAAAAGTAATTTATGTTATTTAATAATTAATATAAATTATTTATTATACATGAATCAGAATTAATTATGTATAGTAATTGAAAAAAAATAATTGTAACGAAAATAATGATAATTAAATTTAATAGAAAACAATTTTTTTGACGAAAAAAAGAAACATTTTCAAAAGAAATAAAAATTTATTTTTTTCTTACAAGAAAAAAAATTGTTTCCTTCTTTAAAAATTTTCTGAGCACGCCTATTTTTACAATTGCCACAGCGATCTAATTAAAAAATTGCCTTGAATGTTCTGAAGTATTCATTTTTTTTCAAATTTTTGGAGTGCTTGCTTGTTTATGTGTCGACTTTGCTTGTTTATGCGAGGGAAGAGCAAAAAAATTTAAATAAATTAAAATTTAACCAAAGAAGAAAGGGAAGGGAAAATATTTTTTTTGTGAAAAGTGGGAGGGAAATAAAAATGGATGACCAAATGGAGATTAATTGGGCGAAGATTAGAGTCTTCAATGATATCAACAAGTGGAACTAAACGACTACTTTTGTTTTCGTTCCGGCAATTAACAGGGAGTCCGGTGAAGGAGTCGAGTTTATGAAGGTAATAATAATTAATTATTTTATTTAAAAAAAAAAATTAATTATATAAAAAAAATATTGAATTAAATTTTATTAATCATGTAATTTAAAAAAAAAAAAATTTCAGAGACAAGAACAGAAGAGAAGCGATCTCGATGAACAACTCAAGGAATACATTTCGGAATGGAGAAAGCAGAGAGCCAAGGAAGAAGAGGAGCTCAAACGGCTTAAGGTAATTAATTAAATAAATTGGATAAATAATTTAATTTATTTTACAACTCCAGATTAATTACATTAATTACAATTAAGTAATTAAGTAATTTAGGCGTTTAATTAAATTTAATAATATAATTAATTAATGCAATTAATTAATTGGATAAATAATTAATTTTCCTTTTTCAGGAGAAACAAGCAAAGCGCAAGGTGACTCGCGCTGAAGAAGAGAAGAAATTGGCTCAAAAGAAGAAAGAAGAAGAAGAACGTCGTCAACGTGAAATTGGTAATTTTCATCATCAATTTTAAATTAATCGTGATATTTAATTTTATTTTTAATAATAATATTAATTTAATTCCACTTTCAATTAATGAGTAATTTCCCCTCCCTTGTTATAGAGGAGAAGAAACAACGGGATATGGAAGAAAAGAGAAGGTAAATTTTATTGAGTTTTCATTTTTTAATCAAATTTGAATTGTTAATTAATTTAATTTATTCAATTTAATTCAATTCAGTTTAATTTAATTTAATTTTAATTTGCAGACGTTTAGAAGAATCTGAGAAAAAACGTCAAGCAATGATGCAAGCAATGAAAGATCAAGCGAGCAAGAAAGGTCCCAATTTCACCATCACCAAGAGTAGTATAGCTGTGAGTTTAGAAAAATTTAATATAATTTTATAAATAATTAATTATATTTAATTTACTCAATAATTATTCTATTAATTTTTCGTTCCTTTTTTTTTTGTTAATTAATTTATTTTTTCTTTTCAATTAAAGGGAAACATGTCGTCGGCACAATTGGAACGTAACAAAACGAAAGAGCAATTGGAAGAGGAAAAGAAAATCTCGTTGAGCATTCGTATTAAGGCATTGGAAATTGATGGTTTGGGAATTGACAAATTAAGATTTAAGGCCCAAGAACTTTGGGACCAGATTGTCAAACTCGAGACTGAGAAATACGATCTTGAGGAACGTCAAAAACGTCAAGACTACGATGTAAGTTTTCATAGTTTTCATTTTCTTTTAGAGAGAGAAAAAAAAATTATTTTTTCATTGCAATATTAAATTTGGAAATTGTTTTAATAAATTAAAAAAAAAATATTTTCTTTTTTCCAGCTTAAAGAATTAAAGGAAAGACAAAAGCAACAGCTTAGACATAAGGCCCTTAAAAAGGGATTGGACCCAGAAGCCCTCACTGGCAAATACCCAGTAAGTATTCATTTTTTTATCCCTTAACATTTGTTGAATGAATATTAAATAATTAGATCAAATTAATTAGAATTACTTCAATTTAAATTAATAAGATTGAATTTGAATTAATTAATTGCATAAAATTATAATAAATTCATTAGATCTTATTAATTATAATTAATTTAATGAATTCGAATTATAATTGATTAATTATATCCTATTTAATATAATTAATTTATCGAATTCGAATTATAATTAATTAATTACATCAAATTTAATATAATTAATTTAATGAATAGAATTATAATTAATTCGAATTCAGAATAATTTACTATATATAATTAATTTAAATTAAACATAGGATTTAAATTATAATTAATTTGAATTAGCAATAATTAATTACACATAATTAATTTAAATGAAAAATATGAATTAAATTATAATAAATTTAAATTAGGAATAACTAATTTAAATGAAACATATGAATTGAATTATATTTAATTCGAATTCAGAATAATTTACTAGATATAATTAAATTAAATTAAACATAGGATTTAAATTATAATTAATTTGAATTAGGAATAACTAATTTAAATGAAACATATGAATTGAATTATATTTAATTCGAATTCAAAATAATTTACTAGATATAATTAATTTAAATTAAACATAGAATTTAAATTATAATTAATTTGAATTAGCAATAATTAATTACACATAATTAATTTAAATGAAAAATATGAATTAAATTATAATTAATTTGAATTAGGAATAACTAATTTAAATGAAACATATGAATTGAATTATAATTAATTACAATAAAACATATGAATTAAATTATAATTAGTTTGAATTAGGAGTAATTAATTACACATTACTAATTTAAATGAAACATATGAATTAAATTATAACTTATTCGAATTAGGAATTATGAATTCGAATGAAAATAAATTAATTAGATTGAATTTAAATTAATTAATTGAATTGAATTTGAATTAATTCCAATTAATTAAGTAAATTAAATTATATTAATCCGTTATTTAATTCTAATGCAAAATTAATGTCAATATTAAAATTTAATTTCTCCCTCTTATTACAAAAATTTAATTTCCTTTTTATTTTCAATAGCCTAAAATTCAAGTCGCCTCCAAATACGAGCGTCGTGTTGACACTAGGTCCTACGATGACAAAAAGAAACTCTTCGAGGGTGTAAGTATAATTTTTATTTAAAATAAACAAAACAATTTATTCAAAAATTTTAGAAAACGAGTAAAAATAAAAAAAATCACAAAACGAAGAACTTAAAAAAAAATTTAATATCGAGTTAAAAATTTTCAAAAAAAAAAAAAAAAAAATACGAAAAATGATCGCGTTTCTAAATGCATCACAGGGATATGACACTCTTCTCTCGGAGATCAACGAGAAATTGTGGAAACAGAAAACAGAGCAATTTATGAAACGCACCAAAAGTGAGTCGCTCCGATATTTCTCGAAAGAAAACCTCTGCCTGCTTGTCTTGTTAAGACCCTCGATTTGTATTAATTCCAATTGTTTAGAAATTCTTTTTTTTAATTCTACTTTCATAATCGAATTTCTTTAATAATTCTGAAAATTTTGTAATTTTATTAACTGGAATTATTTTGGAATTATAATCTAATTAATAATTACAATTATTTAGAATTTAATTAATAGTAATTATTCTTATTAATTACAATATTGTTTTCAAATTTAAAGCAAGAAAAGTTAACGTGTGATTTCGAGCCAGAGTGGGGGCAATGAGAGTGAAAGAGAAGTTCCAGTCGCACTTTCTTCCACTCATTGCCCCCACTCTGATTCAAGGTCACGGATTGGCTTTCTTTATTGAAGGATTCAATTAATTCCATTTGCTCTTAATTCTATTAATTGAATTGAAATATAATTAAATAATTGAAAATTGTAATAATTACATTAATTGAAAAGAACAATTCTATTAATTCTAACTATACAGAATTGAATTTATTGTAATTATTAAAAATTTCAATGTAATTACAATTCCTTAAAAATTCCATTAATTTCAAATTTTTAGAATTGTTTGACATTCAAATATTGTTCTAAATGTTTTAATTCCATTTTCAAAACTCGTGTTTAATCCTTTTATTTTTAATGAAATCACAATCCAAAGGGAAATATAAATAACTAAAAAGGAGATATACATAAAATATTCTTCCACAACGTTAATTAACTGGAGACGATATATATATATACATTCCTTCATTTCCGTAGTAACTATTTGTCCCTCTATATTTATGTTCATAAATTTGTTGATAACTATTTAAAGGAACGGTTCACCCACTTTATATCGATTTGGTGCCCGTTGATAATAGCATGAGTTATATAATAAAAAAAAGACAAGAAAATTGTTCTTCTTTTTCATATATATATATGAAGAACTATTTATCGTAATAATTTCTTTTCAAATTTTAATATATGTGTATTATATAATTGTTTCTCACAACAACCAATGAAAAATAATTTTAAAAAAATGAAATTAAAAAACAAAAAGAGAGCAAAAATCTATAAAAGGACAAGGCGACGAACCCTGTGTGAGAATCCCAGCATGCCATTCTTTCCTTTGGTGTTTCAGGGTCTCACCGACTTGATCAAGGATACCACGGAAAAACAATGGAACCTACAAAAAGAGCAGTTCCTTGGTCGCCAAAAGAGTATGTATTTAATGGCCTCCTTATTCAGTGGGCCAGGTGTTTTTCATTTTAATTTCCCTCCAAATATATATATCACTTTTTTAATTACCAAAATGTGTGGCTTCGATTTAAATTTAATAACATTTAATTACCCACTAGTTAGGATAAAAAGTTTCCTTGAGATAAATCTATAAAGTCAATAATCTAAATGAAAACTAATTCAGAATTAATTCTAATTCTAATTTATTAGATTAAATTAATAAATAAAAAATAATTCGAATTGGGAATTATATAAGTCGAATGAAAAATAATTATATTTATATTTGAAATAATTAATATTTATATTTAAAATTAATTCTAATTAGAAATAGGTTTTAAATTAAAAAATAATTCAAATTGGAAATTATTAATTAGAAATAATTAATTCTAATTAAATATCATTTGAATTACAACAAATCCAAATGAGAAAAATTAATTCGAATTATATATAATTACATTGAATTATGATTAAATGGAAATAAGTAATTAAAATTAAATATAATTTGAATTAGGAATAATTAATTTGAATTATATTTAATTAGAAATAGTTAATTCAATTTAAATGTAATATAGAATTATAATTAATTCAAATTCAATATAATTACATTAAATTATGATTAATTGGAAATACGTAATCAAAATTTAAATCTAATTTCAATGAGATATAATTAAATTTAATTATATTTAATTAGAAATAATTAATTCAATTCAAATGTAATCTTGAATTACAATTAATTCGAATTAGATATAATTACATTGAACTATGATTAAATGGAAATAAGTAATTGAAATTAAATATAATTTAAATTAAGAATAACTAATTTGAATTATATTTAATTATAGTTACGTATTTCTAATTAATCATAATTCAATGCAGTTATATCGAATTCGAATTAATTATAATTCTATATTACATTTAAATTGAATTAACTATTAAATTATAATTAATTCAAAATAGGTAATTAAAATTAAATATAATTTGAATTAGGAATTATTAATTACATATAGTTAATTGATTCAAATTCGAATTCATTAATTCGAATTACAATTAATTAGAAGCAATTAATTAAAAACTGAAATAATTCTTCGAAATCATGATTAATTATTTTTAATGAATTCTTATTTCAATTCATTTATTAATTTGAATATTCACAACTTGATGGAATTAATTCGCCAATCGCGATTAATTAATTTATTTTCAATTAATTATAATTTAATGTAATTAAATTATCGCGAGTTCTAATAATTTAATTCGAATGTCTATTAATAATTTAACTTATTTCGGTTTATTAAATTAATAATTTGATTAAATTTATAATTCGATTTAATTAATTTCCAATGATATTTAATTGAATTAATTATTGTACAATAATTGTTATTCGATCTAATTTGCAAAATAATATCTTATTCAAATTGTTACTTATTTCTAATTCAGTAATTTAAAATTGATATCGAATTAATTAGAATTATTTCTTTAATCTAATAAAATAATAATTATAGTCCTAATGATAATAGTAATTTACTGAATTGAATAAAAAGAAGAGAAATAATTAACAAATTAATTTTTTTTTTTAAATGTAAACAGCGAAGCTACCAAAATGGTTTGGCGAGAGGCCTGGAAAGAAAACTGGCGATCCCGAATCACCGGAAGGCGAGGAAGATGTGAAGGCATCGGGTGACGCCGATCTTGAGGAACCTCAATTCGATGAAGAAGAAGAGGAAGAGGAGGCAGAAGAGGGTGAGGCAGAGGAGGAGGAGGAGGAAGAAGAGGAGGAGGAAGAAGAAGAGGAGGAAGAAGAAGAGGAGGAGGAAGAAGAGGAAGAGGAGGAGGAAGAATAAAAAAAAAACTTCACTATCAATCGCAAATCACGATTATTCTCTCATCATTCGCGACCAAAAAAAAAAAAAATGTTCAAATTTTTTTTTCTCACAAGCGCAACCACAACAACTCGTTCCACGTTTTTTTTTCTCTCTTCTCTTCTTTTGCGTGTAAGCGAGAATGACGCCTAAAAAAAAATGTTTACCATAAAAATTTTTGTCTTTTTTTTTCACGAAAATAAAAATAAAAAAAAAAAAAATAAATAAGTTGCCATATAATAATATCAACTATATATATATATATATAGATATGAGAGCAGCTGAAAAATTCTTAATACGCGTCTCGCAATTTGTGAATCTCGCTATTACTACTTATTACTACTGTTATTATTATTATTATAATTATAATTATTATTATTATTATTATTATTATACAATTTACAATAATATTATACACAACCAACACACAAACATTATTAAAATAATAATAAAAAAAAAAAAAAAGAAAACGAAATCGTTTATAAATATATAATCATCGCTATGTTCACCTTTCACACATACTCACGAAACACATTTAAGATTGGACAGAAAAAAGAAAAAAATATATCTCATGTCTACTTTTTATTTGTTCTGAGTTACGCGATATTAAATTTTTATTTCCTGGGGGTTATACGACTTTTTTTTCGAACATATGTACATATAGATTCTGAATAGAATTTGTTAATTTTGATGAAACATATTTTTTTGACGCACTTTATGTCTTCATTTGTCTGATAATATATATATATATTTAATAATGCCTAAATAATTGCCTTTTTTTGTCTTTTATTTTAGTTTCTTTATTATTATTATTATTATTATTATTTAAAAAAAATTTATTCCAAGTAAAATTTCTTTTTTTTCAATTTTTATAATTAATATTATTTATTAGTGATGTAATTAATTTTTTTTATAGCAAAGTATTTTTTATATCCAGGTAAGTTAAAAAAAATTCTAATTATTTAAAAAAAAATTTGTTGCTAGAAAAAAATTCGTTAGCTTAAACTTTTTTTTTTTTAATTAAATAAAAACAATTAATAAAGATCAAAAAATTATTTTTCTTGAGTTAAGAATTATTTTTTTAAAAACTTCACTTTGTTTAAAAAGTATATATATATATATATATATATGCTGTGTTTGCAAAGAAGAGAAAAAAAAACGCCGTTCTTTTTGGAAGTGGAAAGAAAGATAGTTATATTGAGCATGAGAGGTACTTCAGTACTCTTTACACTCACTGCTATTTTCTTTCTTCGAATACTCGTCCTTGGCCTCATGTGCAAGTAGTATTCGCATATCGCAGCTCTCCTTTTCCTTTAATGTCATATTCCGTGAATTTTTTTTTTTTTTTTTTTTTTTGTGAATTACTCAGCGCATAGCTAGTATATATCTGCTCATAACGATTTATCTCTCTTTCAATTTTCGACGAATATTCAACTAAATTGAAAATTTTATTGAAGACTTTAGAAAAAAAAAATAATAATAATAAAAAGAAATTTTTTTTTTTATTTTTCTTATATTTTTTTTATTTATTTATTTCTATTTTGTTATTAATATTCATATTTTTATTATTTTTATTCTGAATATTCAATAATTACATTATTTTTATTGTTAAAATAATAGATTAACTAATCAAACTGAAAGGAGATATTTTTACTGTTTTTAAATTTGGCGCCATTATTTACGTGGCGTTACTGTAGTGGGGAATTTTTTATTATAAGATTGGTAACAATGTTTCGGTCATTCAAGGGGATTTGTTATCAATTTTTTTTTTAAAATGCTGTACTAACATAATAATTTTTTTTATTTTATTTATTATTATTAATATTAATATTTTTACTATTATTATTATTATTATTATTATTATTAAATAATTATGTTATGAAAATAATAATAATAATAGATTAATTAATCAAATTGAAAAGAGATACTTTTACTGTTTTTAAATTTCGCGCCATTATTTTAGTGGCGCTGCTATAGTGGGGGATTTTTTTATTATAAGGTTGGTAATCATGTTTCGGTCATTCAAGGGGATTTGTAATCGATTTTTTTCGATATTGCAATAATATATTTTAATAAATAAAAATATACTCAATTTTTGTTTAAATTACAAAAAATTTTAAAAAAGAAAAAAACAGACAAATCGTAAGAAAAAAAAGAGAGAGAGAGAAGAATAGATAAATAAAATATTAGAATGAAGAAAAGTCAGTTTTATGACAGAATTAAATAGAGGGAATTTTTAAAAAACAAAAAAATAAAAGAGAAAAAATATTTCATATAAAAAATTGAAAGGATGCAAAGCACATAAATCTGATTTAAAAAAAAAATAAATAAATAAAGTCAAGTAAAATATTAGAAAGGTAAAAAAAAAATTACTTCAAAGATTAAAATCAAAGAACTGACAAAAAAGAAAAGAGGAGAAACACACAAGAAAAGGGATTTTTAACATAGAATTGCGGGCGATTTTAAAAATTAAAAAAATAAAAGAATAATATATCAAACGAAAAAAAGGAGGGAAAATTTTTTTTTTTGAATAGAAATTATATGAATAGAAGGAAAATCGTTGTAAACGAGAATTTAAAATCGTGAGACAAATATATATATATATATAGATATAAGGGAAAATAGGAGAAAAATATGAGTACGCCGTATATAACAAAAAGACAGGAATTTATTTTAATGGAAAAAGTTCTTTTAATTTAAAGTGAAAGAGACACGAGAGTTATATATATATATATATATATATATATATATATATATATATATATATATATATATATATATATATATATATATGTATATAAATAAAAGGAAAAAAGTAATGTTAATTTAAAGAGAAAAAAATTCCACACAGAGAATTTTATAAAAGAAGAGATCTGAATTAAAGGGAAACAGAAATGTGTATACGTGCGGCTGTGATCGTAAAAAAAAGGGATATTGAATAAGAGCACTATTAAAAAAATGAGAGAAAAAAGACATTTTTTTTTTTTTGTTTAAAAAAATTGAATTCTACCTCAAAAAGAGGAAAGAAAACATTATATTTAAAAATATTACACTAAAAGAAGAAATAAAAAAAAGTACAAAAAAAATTGAAATAAAAAATATATAAATTTTTTTTATTAAAAAGGAAAAAATAAAAAAAAGTATAATAGAAAAATTATATTCAAGGCGCGAAGTTAAAAAAAAAAAATTTCTGGGAAGATTCGAACCAAGGTTTTACTATTTCACTTGACCTAGGACAATTAACGCACACGACCAACATGTAGTTTGAACTTTTACATAGCTTACTATTTATGAATTCCTTTTACTTTTTGTTAAAAAAAAAATTTGCTAAAGTAAAGTGTTGTCAATTTTTCAAAATTTTACCTTTTTTTTTGAAAAAAAATATAAAAATCGAAAATAAAAAAATATTAATGTTAGAAAATACAAAAATTGATCGTTTTTGTTTTGCCGTCTGTAGATTTAAGGCTAATTATACGTGAAGAGCAATCACCCGAATATACAATTACACGTTTGACATATTAACTTCATTCCCACGTCATTATTGAATAAAATCCGCGTTTTCGTTATGTATAGCGCATTACACCTCTAGGCAATATAATGGCTTAATTAGACAGCAATCGATAATTAGGTCACCAATTTTGGATTTCAAGTATTTGTCGAAATATTATACACGATGCAAAGCAACTTTGACATATATATATATATATCGTCATCATTAAAAAAAAAATAAATAAAAAATATTCCACAAAATTGACATTTTATATATAAATATACGCGAGTAAATAAATAAATAAAAAAAATATATATATGTGTGAATGTATGTAAACATTAATTACTCTAAATGTGAATAAAGTAACTTTTGTAATATATTATTTACTTTTATGACAAATGAAATTTTCATCAGTTTTGACCCGCAGTTGAGTCGAAAAAAAAAAATATATATATATAGAGTGAAATTTTTATTATGAAAATATGATGAAAAAAAAGGATATTGATATTGAAAAAAATAAAAAGAGAAAATTATTTGGTATTGTCGATCCCAAAGCTGTAAATATCGTCGTAAAAAATTTTTTTTTACCATCCCAGTATTTATTTGACCGATAAAATGATAGTAAAAACATGGTCGATTCTTCCTTAATGGATTGAAAATTCTCATATAAAACGTTTTGAGAGTAACAATAAGGATAAAAAAAAGTAAGTAAAATAAATAAATAGAAAAAAAAAAAATTCAACGCCATTGTCACTGTTTCAGAAAATTGTACGAACATAACCTCTTAGAAGGTTATAGGTCTCGAATTTCAGGGTCAAATGAAGAAACATAACCTTAAAAGTGATGAATAATTACAGAACCGTTTCTAAAAATTTTTTTTTTTTTTTTCTGCAAAAACCTTGGCTTTTGATTGAAAATCGGAAGAATTAAAAATAGAAAAATATATAATTAAAAAAATTTTTTAAGTTAATTAATGATTAATATCCGCACGTATTTAATATGGAGTAATTAGTTATTACATATAATCATTATTGCTAATGGAATTGTATATGTATTAAGTCAGACGAAAATTATCCAATAATTATTATTTATCAACATGATTTTTAGTCACCAAACAAACAAAAATAGATAAAATTCAATATTTGGAGAATTATTTATTTTTCTTTGAAATTTTTTGCGAGGTACAAAAAAATATTTCCAAATATAAATAATAAAAATTTATGTGTTTGTTTGTAAATATATATAGTGCAAAAAAAAAAAAAAATTGAGATGGCAATAAAAAGTATTTCACGTATGGAGACAAGTACACTAATCTTTAAGAAATGTGGACGTGCTCAGGAGGCAAAATTTTCTTCCGTTATCTATCTCGTTTCATCTTTTGCGATTCTGCAGTTTTCCCTCTCGATTTTGTCACCCAGAGTATCCACTATTTATAATGCTTGCTGACTCTGAAAGAGGCGGATTTCTCTCTAGAGAAACGACAGAGAGAGGGGGGGGGGCGTCAAAGCTCGAAAAAGGAGAAAAATTTTTGCAGAGAAAATATTTAAAAGAGTAGAGAGGAAAACTAGGAAAATAAAGATAAAGTAGAAGACTATATATATAGAGCAAAAAAAAAGAAAAGAAAATTGCTAAATAAAAATAAAAAAAAAATACCGAGGTTCAATTTTGAAAAATATCAAATTCTGATTGGCTAAAAAATCCCATTAAGAATGAATAATTTTTGTAGAATCAAAAAAATTCATCAAAATTTCAATATAAACAATTTTTTTTGACAAAAAAATTCATCAAAGTTTCAATAAAAAAATTTTTTTTCACAAGAAAATCATCAATTTTTAAAAAAATTATTCCTCTTACAAGAAAATCATCAAATTTTTAAAAAATTATTCTTCTTACAAGAAAATTATCAAATTTTAAAAAAATTATTCTTTTTACAAGAAAATCATCAAATTTTTAAAAAATTATTCTTGTTACAAGAAAATCATCAAATTTTTAAAAAATTATTCTTCTTACAAGAAAATCATCAAATTTTTAAAAAAATTATTCTTCTTACAAGAAAATCATCAAATTTTTAAAAAATTATTCTTCTTACAAGAAAATCATCAAATTTTTAAAAAATTATTCTTCTTACAAGAAAATCATCAAATTTTTAAAAAATTATTCTTCTTACAAGAAAATCATCAAATTTTAAAAAAATTATTCTTCTTACAAGAAAATCATCAAATTTTAAAAAAATTATTCTTCTTACAAAAAAATCATCAAATTTTTAAAAAATTATTCTT